GTCCGGTAGAGATTTTTTATTGATAAAGGTAGTCAAACTTATGAGTAATCTTGTATTACATTTTCAAATCTTAGATTTAAAAAGAAAAATTTTTACGAATTCTTAACTCAAAATAATTTGCTAATTTTCGTGATTTTTCCATATTTTGTCAATTTTGAACTTTAAATGCTTATAAAAAAAAACTGTGACTAACGATTTTTAATATTTTTCATCTGCCTTTGAAACAATATACTAGGAGCCTTGTATTAAATTTTCAAGTATTTTTACTCAACAAATAAAATTTTATTGATATTTCTAAAAAAAATACTAAAAAAAAATGAAAAATGAAAATGTTCCTAAACAGTTCAAAATAAATCAAAATATTTTGAAAATGTTATCGTGTATAGAAAATGCAAATATAAACAACCAGTGAAAATTTCATGTATCTACGGTCATTTGTTTTAAAGTTACACCAAAAACCAAAATCGATTTTTTGGAAAACCGATTTTGCGTAAAAATTCCTGTTTTTCCTTAATTTTTCTTTTGTTTTTGCCGGCGCTTTTGAAAACTACTGGGAAATTTAAATTTTGACCTCCCCAATGCACCAACGATATTCACTTTCCAATCGAACAAGATACTGAAGTCGAAAATCGAATCATTATTTCGACTACTTATCGTGTACACACACAAAAAAAATAAAAAAATAAAAAATATAAAAACACACATCATTGTAAAATCAATACATTCATCGTTTCACTCAGAATCTAAAATTAAAATCAAGAAAGTTTACATGCCGATCTCTTAGCAAGCGTTTTTTATTTAAAACTTGTTTGTTATAATATTGTTCTCGCATGTACCTACTAAATTGACAATTTCCGTTTGATTTTGAAAATTTAAATACACAATTTATAAATCAAAGGAGGTATGTTTTATAAACCCTGGGTAATATGAATAATTTAATTCAATTTTCAATTTTCAATTTAGACAAGCTTTGAACAGCAACTTGTTATTCACATTAAAACATTCCGTTAAAGGCTCCTAGTATATTGTTTCAAAGGCCGATGAAAAAATTTAAAAATTCAAAGTCACAATTTTTTTATAAGCATTTAAAGTTCAATTATTGACAAAATACATAAAAATGATGAAAATTTATAAATTATATATTATAAATTTATAAATTTAATATATATTTTATATATATATACATTTTTATAAATTTATCACATCTAAAATAATTATTAAATTTTAAATTTGATTAATTTTGTTAAAATTCAAACATTAAATGCTTATAAAAAAAACCGTGTATGTATTTTTAATATTTTTCAACTGTTATTGTAACAATATATTAGGAGCCTTATATTACATTTTAACGCTTTTTTACAAAACAAATAAAATTTTATTGATATTTATAGAAAAAAAAAATTAAACAAATTGAACTGACAATGCACGTAAACAGCTCAAAAAGAGTCAAAATATAATCAAAATTTTATCGTACATAGAAAATTAAATTTTAAACATTCAGTGAAATTTTTATGTATCTACAGTTATTTGTTTTTGAATTACAACAACATAACAAAATCGCTACATGAGAAATCGAGTGAATATCCAATGTTGTAAAAATTTGACTTTCTTATAGACATTTTTTTTTTTTTGATAAAGGTATATAATCTTATAAGGAATCTTGTATTACATTTTAAAATCTTAAATATAAAAAGAAAAATTTTGGCGAATTCTTAACTCAAAATAATTTGCTAATTTTCGTGATTTTTCCATATTTTGTCAATTTTTGAACTTTATTAAATGCTTAAAAAATAAAACTGTGACTAAAGATTTTTAATTATTTTCAAATGTCATTGTAACAATATAGTAGGAGCATCATATTAAATTTTCAAGCATTTTTACCCAACAAATAAATTTTAATTGACATTCATAGAAAAAAAGACTAATAAAATTGGAAACTAAAGATGTCCCTAAACAGTTAAAAACAAATCAAAATATTTTGAAAATGTTATCATGTATAGAAAATGCAAATATAAACAACCAGTGAAAATGTCATGTATATACGTTTATTTGTTTTAGAGTTACACCAAAAACTAATATCGGTTTTGTCAAAGACCGATTTTCAGTAAAAATTTCGGGTTTTCCTTAATTTTTAAGTTGTTTTTCCCTACACTTTTGAAAACTATTGGGAATCTTAAATTCCAGAATGCATCAACTAGATTCACTTTCCCATCGAACAAGATACCGTTGAAGAATGTAGTTTTACTGTCCCAAACGGTGGTGACAGACACAAAAATTTAAAATTTAAATTTAAAAACACACATCATTGTAAAATCAATACATTCATCGCTCTGCTCAGAATCTAATAATATATTATAAATTATAATATTAATTCAACTTACAGATATAGGCTATAATAAATAATAACAATATAAAATATCTTGACTGACAAACCGTCTCTGCTCACTACTCAGAATCGTTTTCTTATACAATGAATTATATCATTGAATTCAAGTTCAATACAATCCATTGTACATTGACCCGTTTGTGACCTATACTGTACAGCAGAGAGACATTCACTTACCTACCCATTTTTTTTTAATAAGATAATTTTAAATTTCGGTATTATTTCCTGATTCGATTAGTGATTACCTACTGATTACAGTAAATCAATTTTAATATCACTTCTCTCAAGTTAGCATAAAATCAAGTAATTTAAAATTTTAGAAGGTAATGAAAAGAGAACGTTGTTATAAAAAAAAAAAAAAAATATGTGATAATATGTAAAATGTAATATGTAATATGTTCATTAAAATTTTGGATTATACATATCTTATGAATTAAAATATACTATCTACATTTGTCCTGTATATTCTTAGGTATGATAGATAGAAAAATGGGATTAAAATGTTAAATAGCGAATTAATTGTATACCTACATAGAAAAAATGGACTTTAAGAATATGCAAGTACTACTGATTTGAAAAAATAATTTTAGAATATTAATGTAGGTAACAAACATTTCTATAATCCAAAAATAGATTACCAACTTACATATAATCTAGTTTTACCACAGAATAAATTAAATCTAATGAGGTTTAACTAGATTTACTGAACAAAATTGTAACACAACTACAGGTACCTAGACAAATTGTTTTATAAAATAACATTTCTAAATATTTAACATAAAAATAACAAATTTAGTTCAGATACCTGAATAAATTAAGGATCCATTCACTGTTTAATATGTAAAATGTCAGTAATATTGTAACTCTATAGGAATGTAAATACAATAAGCTATAGTAGTTCACAAGTCTTGCAAATATAGTATATTTAATATAAATGTATAATATTCACCTAATTTATTATACCTATTACCTACATTATAATGTCATAAACATTAATCATATACAAACGTACAGTAAACAAATATAAACACAATTACTATAATAAAATTAATACAGCACACTGACCGAAATTAGAACAGTACATTATATTGAACTTGTACAGACTCTGTACTCAATCAATGCCAAGAGGCTATTACTAGGAAACAATCATGATTATAATAGGTAAGTACATAAAAATATCTACAAAATATTATTGTACCTAACTCAATAAATACCAACTAAATTCAAAAATCGCCAAATTACTAATTTTAATTACGTTCATTGGTAAATGGTAAGTTATTTAATAGGATTACATCTACGTATAATGGATGTTATCATAGTCTAACAATTAGTACATTCATTTAATAATGATTAATATATAAACGTACCCTTACCTGCAATATTTATAGTACCTATCGATCAGTGATTTCCTGAGTATTAATTAGAAATTACGTATAACGCATAACACTTAACAAAATAAAGATGAAACAAAAAAAACGAAATTCAAATGAAAAATTCAATAATTCAGAAAAAATAAGGAAAAAGACAAACTGTTAACTGGCAAGTACAGTTATCTCTTGACTCTTATAATGATAATAACGGTTAATGCGTAAACATTACAAACATGATGTTAGGGCCACAAAACTATCACAACATAAATTTAATTTAATTTATTGTGTGATAATATTATCATATAAATAATAATAGTCAAACATTTGTTTTTAATTCTTATTTTAATTTTTAAAGAGGTCTTGTTGTATACATAATCTATGTGTCAAACGCAGAGGTTTTTTTGGCTCACGAAAAACGAATATTTTCTTATTTGTATAGGGTTTCCATTAGTGGTAGGTTACAGAATTATAGAAAATGAAATAGTTATTATAATTGCATAATATCATTGTAGACACTAGAGGCGTATTTTATATTTGGTCAAAACTACCCAAATTACTGTTAAAAATACATAATATATCATGGTGTACTGGTGTATATATTTAACAAGGATTAAGAGTAAATCCACAAATCTACTATCATTATTTAATCCTTTATTAAATTTGTCACTGGCAACATGTTTTCTTGTGCAGGATCAGCTAGTACAGTATAAGATAGTTAATATAATTTGGTTCATTATTTTTGAGTGGATTTCACCTTCCCACTTTGGTACTTGTACTGCGTACACCTAAAATGCAAATATGTGCCTATATGTAGTTATTTTATGGATTAGCCCACCCCTGACCCTAACATTTCTACTTGAAAACTACCACACCTGTTTCCAAGCCATAAGCACCCTTTTTAGAACCTCATAAAATAATTACATTTGCATCCAATAAAATGAAATTTGAGCAGCAATTACTAAAGACTATTTTAATAATCGTAAATATAAGAAACATATAAACTTGAAGTCTTGCATTTAAATATATTAATTTATTTTACAATTATACAATTTTTTTTTATTTCTGCATTCCATTGATAATTTTTATTTTGAGCACTTAAATACGATTCTGTATTTTCATGATTTTAAAAAAATACAAAATATATTATAATATTACTATCACATTATAAATAAATATAATATAACTGTAGTCTGTTGTATAATATGTATAATACAATAAAACAATATAATACTACATATTATTATCTAATATTTTCTTCTCCTTCTCCTGGATCTTTTATTATTTGGGTGATTAGGTTGAGGGGGTGGGTCATCATCATTATCGCCATCACTTTCAATATGATCTTCATGTTTATTTTTACTCTAAAAATATATTATTTATGATTATTATTAATTTATGTTCAAAAACAACACTCAAAACAGTATTACTTTTTATATCCTACTACTCCAAACAAAACTTTAGTGTGACCAAATGTACCGAAATAGGTGGGATTATACGAGGGAAGAAATGCTAACAGAAGTTCCTCCTCCGGTCTTTGAGACCATGAAAAAAAAAAGTGGGATTATACTGATTTTATCCCACTTTCATGAAAATCAAAAATGCAGAATACTAATATTACGTTTGTATCATAAAAATAAATATTTTATTATCGATGATTCATGATTTTATCAATAAAATTGACACCATCAAGACATTAAAACTATATTATAAATACATAACATTTCAAAAAAGTTTTATTCAAATGTTATTTTACTTCAAATATTCATATTTTATAAAAGTACTATTTATTTAATTATTTTGTGAAGCAAGCTTTTTATGATTTTATCTGACAGACATCAGTAATTCTTAAACCTTTTTAGACAAGAAAAATTATGGTCACACTAAACAAATACCAAAATATTTTCTTACTTACTTTATCCCATTCTTTTTGTAACTCATCTAGCATATTAGGTGTCAATAATCCTTGAGCTAAAAGTCTTTCAGTTAGCCTTCCCTTTCCTATATGATTTTTATTGAAGTTTCTTTGGTCTGAACCTAAAGACATTTAATTAAACAATTATTGCAATGATATGCAATGATTTTCAGATATACCTCTTAAATAGTTATGTTTATGTCTTGCAACATTGAAATCTTCCTCAATTGAATCACTACTTGGACTAGATGATTCAGAATTTTTTAACAACCTAGTAATTTGAACCACACCTTGTTCAATAATATCATCTAATTCTGATTGCATGTCTCTCACTAAATTTGCTTCAAGAAATAGATCAGAAAACCTATAACTATAACGTAAATTGTATACTATAACTACTACAATAAAATAATGATTTTTTTTTCAAAAAGTCAAATTAAAAATTATACAAACCTAAACCATAAGTATAAATCCAGAACATCAAACACTGCTTCTAAATGTACCAAGTCAATAATCGTTTTTGGAATTGTGAAAGGCCATCCAATATGTTTGCATAACCAATCAAATGTAATAGATTCATTTTTACTATATTGTCTTGCATACTGTTAAAAATAAAAATTTTAACTTACATTAAATATCTAAATTTTAACTCAAATTAAAATTAGTTATCATTCATTATCCAATAGACATTATTACCTAGAAATTGCTTATTTTAATCATGGTATATACCTTAAGAAACATGGTGCAAACAAATGGCATTTTTCTGTTAATAGGGGCACAACAAAACACGTATCTTGCTCTTAGTGGTAATGGTACATGCTGTATCATATCAGCAAGAAATTTAAAATCTTCTATTTTGCACATGAAATACAAAGAGTCATCGACTGTTGATAATGAAATAAATATATCCTAATACCAAAAAATAAATTATAAAATATATTGCATGAATATATATAAATTATAGTTTTATTTCACCAACCACAAGATTGGATAATGTAGAATTTGGCAAATGGTATGCATATAATTCTATCTGATCAGCAGTTGGATGGAGTCCTGCTTTAAGTATAGGTTCTGGTTTTTCTGATAATATATTCCTTAAGGTAGGTAAGTCTTGAGGTTTAAATGTTGTTACACAACCCTTAGACAATATAAAATGTTTTTAAATTATAAAAAAGTAGATAAATAAATAATGAATAATATTTATGAAATCTATTAATCACTTTTTCGTATTGTGTTCCATAACGTCCGGCTCGTCCGGCGATTTGAAGTGCTTGTGACACTGAAATAGTATCCATTTCCTTTTCTCCCTTTTCATTTAAAGTTGGTTTTATTAATGAATAAAATATAACTCTTCTAATACTCCTAAAAATATAAAACTTTGGTTTCAGCAACTAACCATTGTACAAAAAATAACTTTACAACTTACAAGTTTAATCCCATTCCAATAGCATCAGTAGCAACTAGAACACTACAAGAATTTTTAGGGTCATTAAACTTTTGTGCTTGAGCCAATTTTGTATTAGGCGGCAGACCACCATATATAACTGCTACTTCAATACCTCTAGATTCTATCCCTCGACTTACCTAAATTAATATATATTTTTAATAGTAAATCTCTCAAAGTCATACTTAAATATATTTCATTACCGTATATACATCATTTTTACTGAAGCAAACAATACAATCACCTGGCACAATATTGTCCAAAGTACAAACTGCTGAATTTTCGACAGTTAATTCAGTAAGGCGTTTATACCTACAAACCTTATAACAAATCAAGAGTAACATAAATTAAACAAAACTAAACAAAAAATAAATTATTATTTTTAATACAATACCTGAACATCTTCACCAGTGGTTATCATTAAACCTTTAACCAAATCAACTGCACCTTCTTCACCACAAATATGAATTTCATTGGCCACTAAACCAAGCAAAGCTCTTGTCCAAGCCCAACCACGACTAGGATCCTTCATCATTTGAATTTCATCAATTACTGCAATATCATCTGAAATATAGAAAAACCCATTAGTTGCTTATAGCTATCATTATTTATTTATTTTAGATTCTGAGTGGAACGATGAATGTATTAATTTTACAATGATGTGTATTTTTTTATTTTTTTTTTTTAGATTCTGAGTGAAACGATGAATGTATTGATTTTACAATGATGTGTGTTTTTTTTTATTTTTTTAGAGTCTGTCATCACGTTTTAGGACAGTAAAAGTGCTTGGATTTTCTTCAACAGTATCTTTTCTGATAGGAAAGTGAATCTAGTTGGTACTTTGAGAGGTCAAAAGTAAATATTTCCCAGTAGTTTTCACAAGCGCCGGGAAAAACAACATAAAAATTAAGGAAAAACCGAAATTTTTACGCAAAATCGGTTTTCCAAAAAATCGATTTTGGTTTTTGGTGTAACTCTAAAACAAATGAATGTATATACATAAAATTTTCACTGGTTGTTTATATATGCATTTTCTATACACGATATGATTTTCAAAATATTTTGATTTATTTTGAACTGTTTAGGCACATTTTCATTTTCAATTTTTTTTTAGTTTTTTTCAAAAAATATCAATAAAAATTTATTTGTTGGTTGTGAAAGCTTGAAAATTTAATAGAAGGCTCCTAGTATATTGTTTCAAAGGCAAATGAAAAATATTAAAAATCCTTAGTCATAATTTTTTTTGATAACCATTTAAAGTTCAAAAATTGACAAAATATGGAAAAATCACGAAAATTAGCAAATTATTTTGAGTTAAGAATTCGTAAAAATTTTCTTTTTAAATTTAAGATTTGAAAATGTAATACAAGATTCCCTTAGAAGATTATCTACATTTATCAAAAAAAAATGTCTATAAGAAAGTCAAATTAAATTTTTATGAGAGTTTGAAATTCAAATTTTTACAACATTGGATATTCACTCGATTTCTCATGTAGCGATTTCCTTATTTTGTTGTAATACAAAAACAAATAACTGTAGATACATGAAAATTTCACTGAATGTTTATATTAGCATTTCCTATACACCATACAATTTTGAAAATATTTTGACTCTTTTTCAGCTGTTTACGGACATTTACAGCTTTCAATTTTTTTTAGTTTTTTTTTCTATAAATATCAATAAAGTTTTATCTGTTGGGCCAAAAAGTGTAAAAATTTTAAAACAAGGCTCCTAAAATATTGTTACAATATAAGTTGAATAATATTAAAAATACATAGGCACAATTTTTTTTTTAAATATTTAAAGATCGAATTTTGACAACATTTATCAAATTTAAAATTGAATAATTATTTTGTAGTTAAAAATGAATAAAATGTTCAACTTTTATAACTAAGGATTTAAAATTTAAAACAAGATTCCACGTATATAGTTTATTCTGTTACCAAAAAATCTAAAAAAAAACATAAGCACGGTGGTTTATTTTTATAGTCATTTTAAGTTCAAATTTGGACGAAATTACATAATCAAAAACCTAGAATAACTGATGATTAACTGAAAAAATGATTAAGTACACTATTATATATCTATGGAGTATGGACAGGGTTTGTTGTTGACGTATAACGCATTTTTTGTGATATGAATAATTTGGAATTTATTATAGGTAAATTTTTTTTAATACGATAGATAAGTATATAATATGTCTTATACCTAGACTGACACACTGTCTCCGCTCAGAATCGTTTTTCTTATACAATGATATTATATCATTGAATTCAAATTTAATACTATCCATTATACAGTGACCCATTTGTAACCTACTGTACAGCAGAGCACATTTTTTTGCATAAAAATAATAAAAAAGAATACATAGTTAACTTACATGGTGTGTTTACATTTGCCATTTCAACAGTGCAAGACACATGTTTTGAAGCTTCATTTTTTTCATCAGCAAATTTTCTTTCTTCTCCAGTAACCAAATCACAAGGTGTACCCTAAGATATTTAAAATTATATATTAGAAAAATATAAATGTTATTATTATTACGTCGAAACTTTAAATTTTTTGTATTATTTGATGTTATGTATTTAAAATCAAGTAGTATTTTTACTACTTTTTATCGTTTTATTTTTAAGTTTTTTACTTTTTTGAATGACACCACACATTTTTTATTTCATATTCCAAAGCAGAATATTATTCTAAAAATTCTAATCTATAAAAATCAAATTCGGACAAGTAGTTTATTAGTTATAACTTATAACTTAAAAACATTTAAAGTTTTGATGGGCAAAGTAGTGGGTAACATTTTGAGGGGTACCCTTGACCACTCAGCTTATCAAACTTTAAATGCTTATAACTAATGAACTACTTCTCCAAAATGTTATGTTTATAGACTAAAATATTCTGCTTAGGAGTGTGAAATAAAAAATATATTGTGTAAATATCATTCAAAAAAGTAAAAACTTAAAATACATAATTTGTTTTCAGAAATGACATCGTAATATGTAAAAAAAAATTGAAACTTTTTGAAATACTGAGTGTATATTTTAGGTTATGCATTGTTTTATAAAATAAAAGTTTATTACAAACGTTTACAAATTATGAAAAATTCAACTATCAAATGAAATCAAAATATTTATCTTATTGTATCTTACTCTTTCATTTGATTTGCGATACACCTCAGTCGCTAAAAGTTTTAAAGGACCACAGTACACTCCTGAATTGGATGACAAGTATTTTTCTAAAGCATGATATGTTTTTCCACTATTTGTTGGACCGGCATGGAATATAATTTTGCGATTAATGGCTCTTGCCTCTGGATACCTATACAAAATTATTATAATATAACATTTTAAGCCCTATATAATATACTTTAGAATTTAGGATAATGCCGGTTGGACATAAAATATGTATTGTATTAATAATACAGTAATTGTTGTGTTAACATAGTAATGTTTATCAAATCAATAATTACTTACTACTTGATAAACACAGTTACTTTATATTGAGCGTGTAGTGATTTTCAGATTTATTTATTTATTTAATGGGTTATTATTAGATTTTGTATGTTTGCTGCTAGAAAAAATTATGCATTTCTTAATGTTGTGTATAAATATTCAAAGAATATAACATAACAGTACCAATAATTTAGTAAATATCATAAATACATTTTTAAAAATGGTAAGAAACTGAAATGTGAAGCCTAATATAAATCTAAATATATTTGAAAACTTGTCCGGCAATCAGCATGTGTTATTTAATATTTGGTACTTATCGGTTATCGCGACTATGCCTTTACGCGGCGTATTTTAAAAATGTACAAAAATTAAAAATGAACTATAACCGATAATCGCAATAACCAAATTGTTTATTTATTACCTGCAGTTGTGGCAGGGTATTGACAAAATTGGGTGATTGTGGTCTTGAACACAAACTCCGGGGTACACGTTATCAATTAAATATTTCATATCAATATTATAAATTATTAATAAAGAAAACGTCAATTAACAATATTGTAATATTTTATGTTTAGAGTCATACTTTTCATACCGTTTGGATACGCGTGTCTGTTCTATATTGTTCTGTGGTTATGGAAGTCGCGATAACCAATAAGTACCCAATATTTAAAACTTAATTTTCCCTATGATATGGTTTAACATTATAGAAATTATTTGAAAAATTGAAATAATTTTTATTAGGATTATAATATTGGTATCTTCTAGGAGAGTATTAAAAACATAATTAAATATGAATTTGAAGTATTTTTAAAAGACTGTTCCTTACCAGCAAGTTAGGTTTAAGACAATTATCCTTTAAGCAGCTGTATTAAAAGTATAATCTATTAAAATAAAATAAGCAAACCAATTGGCAGGTGATCGAAGATCGCTTATTTTCTTTAAATCATCCATACACTCAAGATGTGGAAACATTTGTTTTGCATGTCTCAAGAAATATGGAAGTATATCATCTACATGTCCAGCTCCTTGTAAAATATCACTAATAACTACATGAAGATCAACAGGCAATGTATTGGCTTCAAGACAATATCTTCTAAAACTTATGTATGCTTGGTGCTGCAAATAATCTAAAACATAATAACTATAATGTAAATTGGGTTTGATCCATAGAAATATAAAGATTATATTATGTATATTGTTTGGTAAGATTTGTAAAAAATATCTTACTATCTAATCCATTTTCTAAAGCCAACTGTTTGATTTCAGGCTTCTGGTAAAATCTGTTTAGTACTTTTAAAAGATCGCCTTTATTCAGTCTACCAGTAAGTTCAACACCAACATTTATATCATCTGGATTTGGTTTCACAGGTACTGGGACAAATAGAGTAGACAAATTATCATCTTTTTTAAATCTTTTCTGCATGACTACAGAAGTAAATTTGGGTCTGCCATATCTATAAATTCAAAATCGATTTAAAATTAAAAATAACAGATCAATACAAATTGAAATACAAATTAGTACATAGATGAGAAATATGAGATATTATTATTAAATTACATTATGTAAGCACTAAATAACAAAATATATAAAATAACATTTAAAACAATAATTAACATTAACTTTCGGAATACCTGTGATATTTTATTAGTGTACTATAATGTCGATACTTATTGGCACATAAAGTTGTAAAAATATTCATTCTTTGAAATTGAACTATTATTATACCTAGAGTGAGTTGTGACTGTCGGCTGACCAGTCGTTAATTTTACAACAAAACAAATCAGTATTATTAAAAATTATTCAGTTTTTTTAATTGACGAAAGTGTATCAGTTTAATAGTCAAGTCGATTGGATACATATTACATCCAACTACTTCAGTAGTTTGTACTTAGTATGAACTTGGTACTTAGTAGTTCGTCGTGCACATTTGAAAATGTGCCTTCTTATCACCGGATAAATTTTTTTATCAACAACATTCATGGCTTATACTTTATACTACCACATGTTACCACAGATTACACAAATATTTATTGATTTGATATATTTATTATCAGTATTTTTATTATCACGTATTCTATTGTATTGACTATTATTTAACATTAATTATACATATTACATATTTTATATCGTACTATCGTAGTTGATGGTAGTTGTTGTAACTTGTAGTTCCGTACTTCCATACTTCATTACTACAATAGGTAGTAAATTTATGTGTTTCGGTATGAAGCACTATGAACACTGAAACCTTCACTATTTCAGAACCATCACGCATTTATTCTTAAAGATGTTTTTGAAACGCTAACAAATTGTTCTAATTGTAAAGTGTCACGAGAAGGCATAATGTCTAATATTATGTACAACATTAAAACCACTCCAATCTAGTAATCGAAACGCTCTTTATATTAACGTTCTATGGAACACGGAAAAAAATCAATGAATGAGTTATTGACTCATTTTTTTCTAACATTTTAAACTAAGGAAACGAAATTTGTTTGACTCATTTTTTTCTAACATTTTAAACTAAGGAAACGAAATTTGTTTTGCTTAGAAAAGTAAAACAATGGAGTTTTTTAATTTTTTGGCAGACTGTTTAAAAAAAGTAAGTCTTTGATGGATTTTAACAAATTACTGTACTTAAATACATGTAATTTCTGTATTCGTCTGAACAAAATCAGAATGAAATATTTTAATAGTGTCTACCTAAGTATTTTTCAAATGTATCTCAATTGTAGACTAAGAAATAACCTGTGTAAATTTATCAAAATTAAGTGTTAATACCCAAGTACCTACTTACATTTTTTGAAAACAATTATAAATTATTTTCATATTTCATAATATAAACAGGTAGATTAGAAAAATGAGATATGTCATCCATGTCATTGACTTTGATTGACTAATCTTATGCAAGGTTGCATAAACAATTGGTTAATATAATGTTTTAATAAAATTTAATGATGAAAAATTCATGGGCCTCTAAATCATGTTTAAGAGACCATCAGCTCACTATTGATTCATTATATGATTATGCAACCTGACAGAGTACCTACCAATATTATAAACAACTGAGTTGCAGCAGAGATCTGATCAGTATATTCATTTTCAAGATTTATACATACCTTGTATATTATAATTAATGTTTTATTGTACTAGATGAAATCTGATGACACATTACCACGAGTCACATCCCCGCGCATGTATAATGACGGCAATATAACATTTGAAGGGTTGATGGTGGTTTTTGCTTCGTTTTCCACTTATTTGCAATATTTAAACATTTATAGATCAGTATGGTGGTTACCTAATTCAAATTATACTTTATGGGTAAGATATTATACTAATAAAATATTTCATTACATTTGATTTCTAGATAATATTTCTATGCTACAATTCTAAATTAAATATTATCAGATTGTTAGATATGTTAAAAATATACAAAATGTAAATGCATATTATTTTATTTTGCATATATAGTTTATATTATAATAAAAGAACTAATATAATTCAAAACTTAACTTTTTTTAATAAAACAAATAACAATTAAATAAAAACCAATATAGAAAGAAGAAATTAATTTAACTGCTGTTAATAGTTTATTTTATTCTTGATAAATGGTAAATTTGATTTATACAAATCAATGTTTAAGATCATATTATTTACAAAAGCTTATGAAAAAAAAAATGATCAAATGATTATTTTAGATAGTAAAGTAGTATAATTTAAAGGGATTTGCTACTATTCAATATGAATGCAATATTTTTGAAGTCTGTCATATTATTAATAACTAAAATATGGAATCTATAGAATAATATTACTAAATTTGTTTGGCAGGGTGGATAAATAATTTAAAATTAATTTGACATTATTAAATCTTATGATTTTATAATAATCAACATTTATTTTATTATTTGTTTTCAGAAAATACATTTAATTGATTATCAAGTGGTTATATTTATACTAGCTATGCATTGTCGAAGATTTATATATTGCTTAATAACATGGGTTTTCCACATGTTATGTCCTCAAAATTATTGGAAATTTATAAGACTGTTCATTAGGTAAGATTTTTCTTTTATTCCATATGTGAAATATATATTTCATTATGTACATTTAAATAAATCTTATTTACCATAAATATTTTCAGATTATTTGTTTCAGTCACACTATTTATTTTATTAGCACTATTAGCATTTGATCTCTACTTAAAGTACGATTATTTAATAATAATTTACTTATTTATGCCGTAAGTCAATAATTTATTTGTATAAAAATAAGTGTTTTTATTACTTAACCAACTATTGGTTTATTTTAGGATAATTGGTTATTTATGCTATTATGGTTTCAAAGCATGCCCATTTTTCGATATGATGTGTATTAGTGAAAAAGAAATAATTATCAATGGCAAATCATTAAGTAAGTTTTTTAAATTATTATTAACATTTATACTGGCTTTAAATTAACAGTTTATAAAACATTAATTTTTTTCATTGACTAGGGTTGCTATTATGTAAGAGGTGAATAAAAAAAATTAAATGTTGGCTGTCATAATATAGTATGCGGTCTACCCGAAAACGTGTTCTACTGGCGGTTGCCATCTGCTATAGGATGTAGTCTACCTTTATTTTTAGTCGGCTAACCGCATACAATATTTGTAAATTGCCAGTACATTGCCACTTTTATATACATTTGCCGGTAGACCCCATATATATGACAGCCAAAATATTTATTCAATCAAAGGCATTAAGTATAATATTGTAATTGCTCATGTAAAAGTAATTTTATGTGGTCACCAACATTTTTTACCATCTTAGATCTGGACACAAGGGAACATTTTGTTGGAGACCTAAATATCAATGCTTGATTTTTTTGGTACAAATGGCAACCCTTTAACAATAACTGTTTTATAATCATATAACAATGCTATAATTTTTTACTACTTATTTATCATAACTTCTAACATTTTCAGTTCAATATACAAATATGCACATATGTACATCAAACCCAAAAATAATTCGATCAGAAGTGGATAATATGAGAGATGATTTTAATAATAGGCTAACCCAAATACTGTTTTCTTCTTTTTTCTCAGCATATTATGCATGCTTTTTACCACTAGTATTTGTACAAGTATGTTATTTTATTGTTTTTAATTAAACACATAGTACTTCACAATTTTCTGATTTTTTATGTATGAATCTCTATGTAACTGACATTTAAAAATATGTGTCCACTATTGGGAAAATAAACCATACAAGGACCTCTTAGCTGGACTGTAAGAGTATTTACAATTTATTATTGTCTATTATAAAGAGATTTTACACTGTCAGGAGGTGTCTGTATTTTGTGAATAGATATTTCACTATATTAACAACTATAGAAACACCACTAATCCACTTCTTATAAAAATCAGTATATTGTGTTTTACTATATACATAATTATTTTAGGGGAAAATTATCCAACCAATATGGTTGAAGAATAAACTTTCTATTTATTATTTAAATTTAGCGATTTATTGCTTTATTGGACTGGACTTCAGGACAATCTGGAAAAGTGTGATGCACCAGAAATTGACTAACAATTCTAATAAAATCATATTGATTTTCTCTAACAAAAACAATAACAAAATTTGTTACATCAAAAAGCTTTATTTTGAATTAAATATTAACCGTGACTCACTGTTCATTTTGTCGTTTTATATCAATATGAGTAAAATACATTGTTTCAAATTTTGTGCTGTTGATTTTCTATAAAAACAATTTTGGGTATTCATTTAGTATGTGACTTACCGGACCGCGTAACCTACTGTTTTGGGTATTAATTTAGTATGTAACCAATGGGACCGATAATTCATTTAAAAGCAGTCAAATTAAAAATCATAAAATTATGTAAATACTTATTTAATTAATAAACTAGTAATATCAATATAAAATAATACAGGATTGCATTTAACAATGTCAAAATCAGTCAAACAAAATATCAGTTTAAAAAAAATACCCAAAACAGCAATATGTCATAAAATTATATTATTAATACACTTTTTGTATACTACTTTAAAATGTTTAAAAAATGTATCTTACCTGTTGATAGATTGGTACCCATACATTTATTATATAGATAATATAGGTCACATACTAAACAAATACCCAATTTTGATACTATTTACAGATAATTTTAGAATTTGTTTCATTGTTTAGATAATTTTCCCTTTTATTTTATTCAATTAAATAATTTTTTATTTAATTTTATGTATATAAATATATTTTAGACTTATGTGGTTTATGAAGAACATTGGGTGTTAATGCATTTTCCTTTTGTAATGATGACTATGGGCATGATGCTATGTATTCATTACTACCCTGTTAAGTAAGGAATTATGTATACTAATAAAATATAAATTTTAATATTTTTTTGTAAATATAATACATTATTATGTAGAGATTTAAAAATAATATATAAAAATAACTTTTACAAAAGTTTTAATTATTTTAATTTTAATATGCATAGGTATTTCGATCACTTACATAAAGCAGCTATGCACTTGGGTCGTTGGAAGAGAGTAAAATTAGATCGCCCTCACTTGCCTATACATTTGTATGTATCAATATTATTTGTTCTTGTGTTCTTGTTCTTGTTAACTAATGGAATATTTCAGATGGTCAGAAGAAGTGGTATGGCAACAAGGATCATTAGTTCGACATAATCAATGTTTGTATAAGGCTGAAGGAGTATCAAATGTAGCTGAACCAGGAAAAAATGCTGATAAAGTTTTTTATGTAAGTATACATGTGTCCGCGGAAACAGGGTACACTTTACCACTCATTACCCTGTACATATTTTTCAATTTTGTTTTCGGGACATTAAATTAGACTATTTGATCTTTAATTTCAATTACTTAAAATTTTTTTAACTCATGTATTTTGCACATGCGCAATAAAACTTACATTTTTTTAAATGGCAACCCGTAATTTGAATATCATATTCGGGTTCTTCATTTTTTTTCAAGCCATTTTGATGTATCAACTTGTATCCTAAACCCAAAATTGACTAAACTAGAGCTAAGTAGAATTTAAAAAATTCAATTTAATTAATTTTTTTTTCTAACTGTACGTACTTATTTTTTTCTTCTAAACACCAAGAAACAAACAATCAAAATTATTATTATTAAACTAATTAACTATTTAATATTTATGAATTATTATCTTATTTTATTATTACACATTATGAAATTGCATATGGTCTTAATTGGCCGAAACCAAAAAAGAAGAAGAAGTGTATTTTTGTTTCCATCAGAATAATAATTAAGTATCTATTAAAATAATAATGAGCATTGGTGTTCCTAGTTTTGTTATCCACCTATACATATTAAAATATCATTAGCTATTTTTATATTAGGTATTATGGAACTCATTATCAGAGTCATGTGTCATTGCGGTCTTAGTAATTCGATGTTTTTTGTTCTCTATTTTCAATATCTTTAGGTATTATAAAGTTATAGTTTGATTTTTGTTAGAATAAAATATTAATCATGAATAATAGTGAAAGAGTTCAGTTACTATTGATCTACGGAAAATGTAACAGAAACGCACAAGAAGCAACAAGAATGTATGCTCAGCAATATCCAGATCGGTATCACCCAATCGTACTTATGTTCAAAAACTTGAAAAGTCATTGATTGAAACTGGTTCATTTAATGGATTAATTAATGCTGTTCAACAACAGCCACGGGTAAATCAACATTTTAATGAAGTTATTGAAAATCAAGTTTTAGCGTATGTACATCTTAACCCACGTTCGTCTGTTAGACGCACGTCGGACATGAAGTTGGCATACCTAAAACTTTAGTTCATAAGATTTAAAAAAAAAATAAACTACACCCTTACAAACCAGACTCTGTCCAACATTTAGGCATAACAGACCCAGAAAAAAGATTAAATTTTATTTCTTGGTTTATGGTGACGTCTGAGGATGATCCATTATTAATTAATCATATTTTGTGGACTGATGAAAGTAAATTTACTAATAATGGAATATTAAATAAGCAAAATAATCGTTATTGGTCGAATGAAAATCCTCACTGGGCTGTTCCTACAAACTTCCAAACATGTTGGGGTAAAAATGTATAGGTTGGTTTGATTGGTGGTAAGTTACTTGGGCCCCATTTCTATGACGGAACTTTAACGGGAAGAAGATACTTAGATTTTTTGCGTGATGACTTGCAATTACTCCTTGATGATTTACCTTTAGATATACGTAGAAACATTTATTATCAGCAAGACAGGGCACCTGTTCATAATGCCCAAATTGTCCAAGTCTTTTTGAGAGTAAGATTTGGCGAACAATTTATTGCAACACATGGACCAGTAGAGTGGCCCCCAAGATCAACAGATCTAACACCGTTTGATTTTTTTTTTGTGGCGACACTTGAAAAATGTTGTGTATGCTGATCCTCCAATCAACATCCAAGATTTAAAGAATAAAATTACACACCCATGTTACCTCCTAAACGAAAACCAAATACTGGCAACAACTACTCGTGAATGTTTACGTCAATTTGAGGCATGCACTTTACACGACGGAGGGACTTTTGAACAGTTTATTGAATAGTTTATGTTTGTAATTTCTGTAAATTAAATTGTAAATAAAAATGTATAGTCATGTTAAAAAAAAATAAAATAGAAATTTTGTTTCTTGAAAATACATGTTTAAACTCTGTTAATTCATAATGTGTAATAATAAAATAAGATAATAATTCATAAATAGTAAATAGTTAATTAGCTTAATAATAATAATTTTGATTGTTTGTTTCATGGTGTTTAGAAGTAAAAAATAAGTACTTACAGTTAGGAAAAAAAATTAATTAAATTGAATTTTTAAATTTTTTAAATTCTACTTAGCTCTAGTTAAGTCAAATTTGGGTTTAGGACACAAGTTGATACATCAAAATGGCTTGAAAAAAATCGATGAACCCGAATATGATATTCAAATTACGGGTTGCCATTTAAAAAAATGTAAGTTTTATTGCGCATGAGCAAGATACATGAGTTAAAAACATTGTAAGTCATAGAAATTTACGATCCATTAGTCTAGTTTAATGTCCCTCAAACAGAATTAAAAATATGTACAGGTAATGAGTGGTAAAGTGTACCCTGTTTCCGCGGACACACGGTATTTTGGGCTGTAATAAATTTTTGACAATCAATTTTTTTTATTTTTAGAGAATTTTCAGTAATCCTTCAGAAACAATATTTTTTACATTGGCTTCTATGCAAGTATCATTTATGATAGTATTGATTATTGCACTGGTCATCAGTTTTCAATGGCATCATATATTTTACCTTTCATTTGTAATGCTATTAAACTATGTTACACTGTGTAAGACTTTATTTAATTACCGTATGACTGCCAAGATATACAAATTGTTAAAGGAAAAAACTCAATAGACTGTTAACATTTTCTGAATTGAAAAAAACCTTAATGTCAGACTTTACTTTCATTTTTTTGTTTAATAACTAGATTATGAAAAACTAATAAACTTGTGCTAGATTTAAATTATATTATAATATAAGGTTTGAATGTTATTAAGGGGTCGTCGCACCCGCATTTGTTGTCTCCGTCTTACACACGGACAACATAGACAAAACGTGTTTACGCAGTCTGAGTATAACTCGCTCAATTCTGGTCTAGAGTAAAAATACCTATTATAAAATTGAATTGTGACAATATTTCTGAGGGCAACTTGTTGTGTATTTTTTTTAAATTTAGTAATAGTTATTTTAAAAATGTTGAAATTTTTTCTATTTCTAAACGATATAATGAATGTTATTTTGATTATAATGGTAAAAACGCAACAACTTACCCTCAGAAATATTGCCATAACTCAATTTTATTATAGGTATTTTTACTCTACAACCAAAATTGAGCGAGTTCTACTCAGACTGCGTAATCGCATTTTGTCTATGTCGTATGTGTGTAAAACAGAGACAACACATGTGGGTGTGACATCCTCTTAATAATATCTTATTATGTACAGTATTTAAAGAAAATTATTTTGTTTTGCTCAATTTTTGAATATTTTTAGCAACAATAATATTATTGTAATTTTCCTACATTTTATTTAACAATTATTTTAATAGTGATGATAGAAAGTTCCTCAATTTTTTTGTATTATCTTTTTTTTAAATTTTTTCTTTGTTTACAATTCTAGTCAAAAAGTTTGTATTAATGAATAAGTACTTAATCAGTAATTACAATGTATATAAAGTTAATGATATATTGCACATATGCTTTAAACCTTTTTACATGCTTTATTGCCTTAGATTATATGTCATTTCACATTTTGTTTTTATTCAATGTTTGTAATTTATGTAAATCTTTTGTATTTATATTAGATACTGAACAAGATAGACACATATAGTATTTCAATAATTATATTTCATACAATAAAAACTGATGAGCATACTATATTGTTTTTCTATATTATGGACCTAGTATGTAGGAGATTATTTTTTATTATACAAAAAGCCTTCAAGATTCTGAGGAACATTTTAATGACGATCTGCTTTTTGTAAGTATTTGAATTTTCCAAGAATAAAATACAACTCTTATTCAAATTTCAAATACTTTGTTACCTAAAAATATGTATAAAGCTCGGTTGTTGAGACACGATGGTGCAGAATGATGGTTTGTATTGATGTAAAATTAAATCAATGATAAACAGCAATGTTACAATCAAGATCAAACATTTTCAAAAAGGAGTTCTTTGTAAATCTAGGTTAAGCAAATGCTTACATATTAGTTATATTATTACTAACATTTATTTATACACCATATTTTTTGTTAAAGTATCTTAAGTATCCCTATTTCGCTGATAATGTATAAGATTTAAAAATAAAAGTAGACAACATTCCATAAACTACAAAAAAGCTAATTTAATATTTACTTTTAGTAAATAGAAAATTAATCAATCCTGAATTTAATTTTTTTTGGCTTGTATTTTTTCATGCCTCCATATTGATGATATCTTAGAGTCCTAAAAAATTAAGTAAAATATAATTAAAATAAATATAGTTTATCATATTTATTATATCTATTTACTTGTACAATAATATTGGCTAAAGAAAGCTCATCCCTCAAATTATCGCAAAGTTCAAATATTTCTTGTTTGCTAATCCCAGACTTTGATTGTAATGCTAACTGTCTAAGTTTTGATCTAAAATTTACTGTAATATCAATAACTAAACTATTTTCAGCATCAGACTTGAACTAAAAATATAATTTTTAAAAAAATTATTATTAATTTTTTTTTTTTTTTTAACCATTACCTTTGATCTAGATAAATCAATTCCAAATGACTCCAATGTTTTAACTACTAAATTTAATGCCTGAATCACTTCCAATTTTGAACAATTAAAATGAAAGTCCTAAATTAAATCATACTATTTTTAGTAATAAAATCTAATTTAAAACAACATAAAAAGTTTACATTACCACTGTAAGTAATTTATTGAATATGCTAATAAGCTCAATAAGTAAATTTAAAGCTTTTGATGTATTAAAATTATCTGCTAGATTGATTAATATATCATTTTCAATGTCACTTATTTTCTGAAATAAAAGTGTTAAATTTAAGTGAGAAAATATTTGTTTTATTTTAATTATATTGTTTTCTTACTTTTAGTAATGTGATATCAGGAATATGCTTACTGTTGTAAGTATTTAAATGAGCATAACAATTAGCAATGAAAGAATCCAATTTTTTTAACACTCCACAGGCTACGTCCATTGTACTATCATTAAATTCCAAATCTAAAATATTTACACAGGTAAAATATAATAAAAATCAAATTGTTATGCTTTTTCTAGAAGTTTCACTTCAAATTCTCAAAATAGGTAAAAATTTGAAAACTAGAATGAGAATTTAATTTACCATTTTTGAAATTTGATAATAAACATAGTGTTCGAAATTGATTAGCAGTATATGAATTGAGTAGTTCTTTAACACTGATGGTGTTCATTAACGATTTTGACATTTTAATATTATCTCCTACATGTAAATGCCCTGAAAAACATAATATTTTATTATTGTATAATGAGGTAAAGTAAGCAATTAAATAAGAACCTGTATGTATCCAATGTTTGACCCAATCATCAACATTATGATATGCACAGCATTGAGCTTCTTCGTTTTCATGATGTGGAAATAGCAAATCTATTCCTCCAGAATGTATGTCAACACTGGATCCAAAATAATGACTGTAAATATTTAATAAAATCAGATACAAGTATTTACAAAAATAATTTAGAATTCCATAATATATTTACATATTAAATACATATAAATTAAATAGATACCTAGCAATAGCAGAACATTCAATGTGCCATCCCGGTCTTCCAGGTCCCCAAGACGAATCCCATGAAGGTTCACCTGGTTTTGTTGCTTTCCACAGTGCAAAATCTAAGTTACTTTTTTTGAACATATGGGGTACAATTTCAGGCACTTTAACCATTTTTCCATATCTTGTATACTTAGTTGTATCAAAGAACAATGAACCTTTTTACATTGAAACTATTAAACCTAAAAGGCTTTTTCAACATTTTTAACCAAAATATTTTTAAATTATTTTCAAAACTCACCATCATCTGCAGAATAGACTAGATCTTTATCGAATAGGTTCTGAATAAAATTTAAGACTTGAGGAATAAAATCAGTCACTCTTGCTATAATATCTGGTTGTTTTATGTTTAACAAATTTATATCTTCAATAAATTCTACTTCGTAATTCCTAAAGATATTAAATAATTAATGCAATAATCATTTTATAGACAAAGATAGATAAATATTATCAACATATAATAATATGTTTGAACTATCCAACATCCAAACCTTGCTAATTTAAGTGGGTCTATGTTTAAGGCACGTGCTTTTGAAATAATTTTATCGTCCACATTGGTGATGTTCATTACTTGAAAAACAGACAATTGAAAATAGTTCTCCAAAATTCTTCTGATAATGTCAAACTTAATGTAACAGCTAGAACAAATTTGTATAAAAACTATTTCTTAAATCCTTTAAATGATATTTAGGTAGGTACCAAAAGAAAAAAAAACCAACCTTGCGTGCCCAATATGCATTGAGTCATATACCGTGGGACCACACACGTACCATGTCAGAAGCTTGTTACATTTCAATGGTTCTTTAGTCTTGGTTTTATAATTGTACACCAACACATTTGATTTGTTCGTACAAAACGAACGATTGGTCAGCAAACTACCGAGAACACCGAGATTACGCATGATCATAGTCGAAACACACAAGGAATATGACCAATATTATTCTTAAATCAAACCATAAAAGTATAAACCTGAAATATTCAATTTTAATTAAACGTTTGAAAAATTTTAAATTATTATGAACTATTGAAATATGAAGTTACTAGTGTCGTAGAAATGTAGAATACTAGACTGACAAGACTGAACCGAGACATACAGAAATTCTGAATTCAAATTTCAAATATCAATTTATTATCAGACAACCAAGTTTCACAGTTGATAAGGAAAATAATAAGTAATAACAACAATATTTCTGATGACCATATTATTATACAGACGGGTAAAATGTGTAATGTACCTACCTACAATAAATAATTTATCACATTGCCATCACGGACAATCTGCTAACCGGCCAACCGGGTGATTTAAACTCAAATTGTATTCCCGAGCGTGCAAAACTGAAATACTTTGCAAATAATTTTTCATTAAATTTCCATTAAACATTTTTTATTTAATTATATTTTAATAAATCTGTAACTAGCAGGGCCTTGCACCCGAATCAACGCGAACCCCTAACACCAACCAACGCCAAATTTAACCATACAAGATACAAACTACTAATTAGTCTAAAAGTTTATAGACATTCTAATGTATTCTCCCAAAGCCGGAACTCCTAGGCACTCCTAGTAGGTGAAGTTATATTTTTTTGGCAATTAAATTACAATACGTATTATTAGTTATATATTAGTCAATAAATCGACTGCTGATATTTAAATACAAAACTGTGTTATAGATAACCTATTGAACTATTCTAAAATACAAGTTTAACCTACTAATAATAACACTGTATAAAATATGAAATGTGAACATTTGAAGAAAATTCTAAAAAAATCCAAAAAAAAAAAATTGTGTGTTTGCAGTGCAGTTCTCTTAAAACCCAAATGTTTAACATTATTTAATTGAGCTTAAAATTATAAGTGGTATCTGCCATGCACCTAAAAATTATATTAAATAACATTAATCATTATTCATTATGTATTTTATTATTTTATTAGGAAGGTCGTAGGTATTATAGGTGTTGCCTAAACATTTATTTCAAATTTAAAAAAATATTCTATTAATCTACTATTTTTATTTTTTTTTTTGGCTTATTCCGGGCCTTGAAGGTCCATCGCCGCTTCTACTACACCTCTCCACAATTCTCTGTTCTTCGCCAGTTGTTCTCCCTCTCTAATCCCCAGGAGCTTGAGGTCTTCTTTAACTCGGTCTGTCCATCGCTGTCTTGGCCTCCCTATTGGTCGTTTCTTATTTGGTTTCCACATTGTGACATCATGTACTGTTTGGCCCTCCGCTCTCCATACATGCCCGGCCCAGCTTATTCGTCTGCTTTTAAGTATTCCCACTATGTTTGGCTCGTTGAACATTGCCCTTAGTTCTGCATTAGTTCTTCGTTCATATAAATTTTCCTCGTTTCTTTTGGGTCCATAAATTCTCCGCAGTATTTTCCTTTCAAATAGTAGTAATCTTTTCTCGTCCGACTTTGTTGATGCCCATGCTCCACAAGCATACAATACTATAGGTCTAATGAGTACTTTATATAGTCTTATTTTTGTATTTTTGGAGATTAATCTTGATTTAAATATAGGTACGAGCGCAAAATAGCTCTTATTTCCTGCAGTTATTCTCCTTTTAATCTCATCATGGCTGTTTGCTTGTTGGTTAACATCTACTCCCAGGTATTTAAAGTTTGTTACCCTTTCGAAGGTACATCCATCGACTACTAACGAATTTTGTACTTGTTCTCTACGTGATACTATTAAGTATTTCGTTTTTCCTTCATTAACTTGTAAGTTGTAGTCCAATGTCTTTTCCCTTACTTATTAGTTTTTCTGCCGACCGTTTTAGGTCCTCTTCGGTTTCTCCAATAATATTATTATGTCATCAGCATACGCAGCTAGTGTGATTTGGTGTCCTCCTCCAATTCTTAGGCCCGTGACATCATCAAGTACTTCTCTCACGACCGATTCTAAGGCTATGTTAAATAATGTGGGGGATAACGCATCTCCTTGTCTAAGACCTGTTTCAACTGAGAAATCTTCAGATATTTCTCCGTTGAACTTAACTATACACTTGGACTTTTGCATTCATGTCTTTATCAATCTCACCAATATTGTAGGGATTCCGAGTTGGGTCATTGCTTTTGTATTAATCTACTATAACAATAATTAACATTGGTTAATTATAGTAGGTACGTACCTAACTATAATTTAAGTTATATTTCATAATATCACAATTTTGTGCACCTAAGACAACTTGATGTTTTTAAATTACTCTACGTCTGGTGCCTGGAGGGCATGTAGGTACCATGTTTGCCTGACAATATATATTTAGGTCGTGTAGCGTCAAAAGAGTGGATAGAAGGAAAAAACTTACTTAAATATTTATTCTTTCAGTGAATCACGTGCACTACAAGCGTATAATATTGTCTATCAGAGCAGTTGCAGTGCATTGATGTCAAGGGAAAGTATAGAGTAATCTGTAAGTATTGAGGTGAATGTCATATTTTGTGTAAATAGGTACCTAACCGATGAATATTTACACATTCCCTTTAAAAACTATACCTAAGCAGTTATTTGGTTCTACTTGACACAAATGCGGAAAATTGAATTGTATATAATTTTACGGTAACGAAGATCATTAATAGTGTGTATGGATTACACCTACACATATACAATTTATACAACTGGTGCTTAGTCCAGTTTGAAAGGCTCACGGTAAAAATTGTGTTACGGATTATTATTACAGATCTTTCATATATTTTTTAATGAGATTAATGATTACTAACGACATTTTGTCCCTATTTGTGACTTGGCTATGTCTACAACACTCCTTGTTAAAATATCAAATGTATAGGGGTTGGGGCGAGGTACTGTCTTTTAGGTACCAGATTTTAAAAAAACTTATCGGCATTGATTGTTTTTTTTTTTTTTTTTTTTTTTTTTTATTGGATAACCCGCGGCAACATGGGCCATTGGGTGTGTGGAGGGAACTGTAGGTTTTTAGATTGGGTAGGTTGGTACACGAGTGTGTTTGTGGTGGCAGAATTTTTATTGGGGCACCCGTAGGTTTCTGCCATGCCCCGGGGTGGGGGATGGCGGCATTTGTACTCCGGACACCGTGACTTGCCCGGAGAAAAATGCCGCCCAGTGGTCGAGAGTCGAACCCGCGACTGCCAGCGCCGCAGTCGACGCGTTAGACCGCTCGGCCACCTCGTCCCCCTTTTTTTTTTTATATATAAGTAGACTATGTATTCGTATTGGCTATACAAGGTTTTTGTGAAGCCAATATCCAACATAATAAACATAAATAAATAACAAATAAGTAAAAACATTTTTTATAAATTTATTTTCCCTATTATAGGTTAAAAAATAAACAAGTAGATGATATTTTTATCAAAAGTCAAGAAAAATAATTGTGTATTAAAAATATGTGCGTAAAAATGTCTTCAACTATTGACTAAATTATATTATTATTTCAATTGTGAGATAATATACATAATACAAATATTATGGTGTTAAAAAAAAAAAATTGACCGATAGCATTATTTTAATTTTCATATAATATGGAACTTAAACTAATAATTATACAAGACAAATTTACAACATAATATTGTATTGTATTTAATAAAATCATTTTTGAATAAATATAAAATTGACTAACTTTTATTTTCGTTCTACAATATACCTACCTATATTTAATAAAAACTATTAACTAATAAGAAGCAGCCTGATTATAATTCAAGAGATAATCTGATATACTGATATGTAAATAATGAATAGCTCCGGAGATGAATAAATATTAAAAATAGTATCCATCCAACAGTATGGTTTCACAGTATAATTATTAAACGTGTCATAATTATATTATACATAATATAAAAAGTGATAAAAACAACAATAATAATACTTATAATTTACTATACATTATTTATATAAAAAGTTAAATACTTTTTAGTTTCCAAATTACACAAGTGAATACTAACTAATTCACATATTTTGTTTTATTTTTAACACAACAATAATAAAATTAATTTTAAGTAACTAATAAAGACAATATTACTTGATTGAAACAGTTGTAAAAATTTAAAAACAATAAAACATGATTATTTAAAATTCTAAGCATACAAATAATTTATTCATAAAAATATATAATTTTACAAATAATACACAAATGGATTCCTTCTTATACAACATATTATAACTGTAGTAAATAATTAAATTAAGGCATAAACAACCAATAGATAACACTTTGGACTCACATATAATGATATTAATAATAATAAATATTTAAGTCAATAAAAGAAGAAAGGAACTAAAATATGCAAATACACAACCTAAAAAACATGAGATTTATATTGCATCAATAAATTATAAAAAAAATTACGAACATAATGCTATATATTATGACTATTCGATTGTCATTTAATTTATAATTGGGTATTATTAATATTATAATTTTTTTAATACAATACATGATGTAACCAAGAGTAGTAGTTTCAATATCATTACACAAATGCCATTTGTTTCTTAGGTGCTCTAGTTAGCCTTTTTTGTAAATGTCGCTCAAAGAATTTTTTTATTTCTGACACAATGAAAACACTAGATGTTAATCCCAATAAAAGTAAAATATCTAAAAGTTTTAAAAAAAATTAAAATTTTTTAACTCAATAATTATAATAGGATAATAAATAGGTGTTTATACCATATAGAGTAAGTGCTTCGGTCTGAAATACATTCTGTAATGGTGGAAAGTATATCACTAACATTTGTCCAACAATAGAAAGTGTAACAGCAACAAGAAACATTTTGTTAGAAAAAAACCCAATGGTAAATACTGACTTTGTCTGTAAACATAATGTATGGGATTGAATGAAAATATAGATAAAGAACCTATTTAATAATATTAAAAAATTAAAAATCATCATACCTGTGAACGACAGCTAAGAGCATTAAACATATCAAAGAAACACAACATGTGAATGTCATTGTAGTGTCTCTCTTAGACACATCATTGTCACTCAACTAAAATCATATAGCAAAATAATAAAAATTAACTAAAAGTAACTAATATTAAGTATTGAAAGTTCATAATTTATATGTAAAATATTGGTTTAATTTGAATTAATAATTCTAATATTTATTATATAGAACATTTAAATTAAATGCAAAAGTAATATTTATGAACGGCATTTTAATTTAATTACATTTTTTACATATAAATTATTTATAAAAAGTACTTTTAGCATTATTAGAATTATTTAGTTATTAAGTTATTCAATTAAGCTCAAAAAATAAAAGCTCACTTCTCGTTTAAACACCCAAGAGTTCCAACATTATAATTGATGCTGAAAAAAGAACATTAACACAAGTGTTTTTGTTATCATCGGTGTTTTAACATTTCGAGGACCTTGTTTTACAACATCTTTATCAACTGGTTCAACTGCAAGACTGAAACATGTTAATAGTATAATATAATATAACAAGAGAGAAAATAACAAGCTTAGAAAAATTGAAGGAATGGAGCTACCTTTGGGCAGGTGGTCCATCCATAATAATATTAATCCATAGTATTTGCATGGCATTTAATGGATTTGGTATTCTAAAAATGGTTGCTAAAGCAATTAAAGATAATGCGGCAATACTAGTACTAAGTTGAAATTTCACGAAATTTCGAATGTTGAAAAATATTCCTTTCCCTTCTTCAATAGCTGCCACAATTGTTTGAAAATCATCATCCACTAGTATCATGTCTGATGCTTCTTTACATACGTCTGTTCCATTTTTACCCATAGCTATCCCAATGTCAGCTTTTTTCAATGCAACACTGTCATTAACTCCATCACCTGTCATTCCAACAACATTACCATTTGATTGCAATGCCTAAAATTATATACAAAATTGAAATAGATAAATTAGGTTTAATTTTATTTTACCACTATAATAATTAAGTTAATTTTAAATTTATAATAATTTGCTAATACTTTTGAAATGTTGATTTCTTTTTTTTTTAAAAAAGAACTAAAATATATTGTTAATATGGCGAGAAGTAAGAATATATTAACGTGTTAACATAAAAACAATATAGTATATACAATTTACTTAATTTTGGAATTTTAAATTGAATAAATAACTGATTGCCAAAACCACACATAGTAATAATTATACAATTGTATCATAAACTTAATATTATAAATTAATAATTATTAACTTTAAACTTATAAGTTATAAGCCAATACTGACATACAGTTCAACGGTATGAATAAGTTCTTGTAATAAATAGCTTACAATTCATTTTAAAATGTTGAACCTTTTATTATGAACAGTGGTGGTTCTAGCATATGGGTAGAGTGGGAGCTGCCTATACCAAAAAGTCTGGTGCTCCTAATTGAAAAATTAAATAATGTAGTTACTGCTACTATTATTAAGTATTTAACATAATTATTTTACTAAGAAAATATGGGGGGAAGGGGATTTTAATCGCAGTTAAGAGGACGTTACACCCGCATGTGTTGTCTCCGTCTTACAAGTGCGGAACATACCAAATGTACGCTCAGCAGATCACGTTTAGCTCTATTAGTTTAAAAAGTAGAGTGAATAAACGTATTATGAAATTTGATGGTAAGAAATTTGGGTTTTTTATATTTTTATTTGACATAAACAATCTATACTAATTTTAGCACAATAAGTTTAAATGATAAAAGTATAAGTAGAATAACATGAATGTTGTGAATAAGCAGCCACCCATTAGTGACTCTTGACTATTGACAATTATTTTTTTTTTAATTATTTACTATTATATTTTTTTTTTTTTTCTAGAGATGTTAGACATAAAAGTTTTATAAAAGGTCACGGCATAACTTAATTTTTAATCAGCGGTTAGGATTTCCTGGGAGTGTAAGGATGGAAAGGTCTTTTATGAGAGGGTTTGGATGGGATTCATTTTCGTTTGTTGGTTTTTTACAATTTTGCAGTTTTTTAGTGTGTTATGAGAATTTTTAATTAACACTATATTATATACAAATAATCTGCTAAAAAATTGAACTATCATAAAAAACCAACATACGAATGTATGAAATTTGAATTTCTCTTAACTTATTAGGAACTTAATGATTCAAAAAAATAAACTAAAAAATTAAATAAATCTTAAATATCTATAATTAGTTTTAAAAGAGTCAAAATATTTTTAAAAATATATTATTTTTAGAAAATGCTACTATAAATATTTGGTGAAAATTTCAAGTAACTATGACTATTCATTTTAAATAACAGCATTTATTAATATTTTTTTTTAGTTTTTCATGAGTAGGTATTTTGAGGAAATTAATAATAAAATTAGGATGAAGTGTAATGGTAATAAATTATTAGGTACCTTGATTATTGTTAATTTGTGGCGAGGTGTAACACGGTAAAAAACAGATACATTGTTTACCATTGCTTTTAGTTGATGGTCAGACATATTATCAATTTGTTGACCAGACATGGTCTGTCCATGAATCATGTCCAAGCCAATCATACTTCCTATAATAACATTGTAAAATAAAGACTAAAATTGTATGTTTTTTATTTGTCAATAATGTTGTATGTTACATACCAATAGCAACTGCAGTTTCTTGAGCATCTCCAGTGACTAGTTTTACTTTAACTCCACAATTATACAACTGTTCTATGGATTCTCTAACAAATGGTTTTGGAGGATCACAAATTCCAACTAATCCCAAATAGACCAAATCTTGTAAAGAATCTCCTTTGGCTAATGCAATAACTATAGAAATTTATTTATGTTAAAAAGAAATAAAATAATTTGATAGATAAACAACCATTACACAGTATAAAAACTTACCTCGAAGGCCTTTTCTGCCGATTTCATAAGCTTCAGTAAATATGTCTTGTTCTTTTTTACTACTCAATAATAGTCTTTCATTTCCATTAGAATATTTTGTACATTGTTTCAACACTTTTTCTAAAGCACCTTTGACAAAATAAATTTCTTCTTTAACCTATACATTTTAATTTTAATAAAATAATAAAATTACTAATAATAAAATATAATAATGAAGTATGTTATATTTCAATATCTTACATCATCATATTTATTAACACATTTCACAGCCATAAGTTTTTGTTCAGAACTAAATGGATATTCTTGAAGTTTTAAGTATTTATCACTAATACCATACATTCTATTCTATATTCAAAATGAAAAATTATAACAAAAGAAATAAGGTTAATAAATAACAAAAGATTTAACTTCTTAAATACCTTCATAGCAACTGCTAAAAGAGCCCCTTCAGTAGGCTGTCCCTGTAATGTATCTCCATTGATAGTTGCATTGTTACAAATAACTCCAACCTGCATAAAAAAAAATATATACAGTTTAAGCAAAAACCAACTTGTGAAAATTTTGAGAATCTAAATTATCAAAATAATAATATACATACTTCTAACAAATTATATATAGCTTGTTTAGCTTGGTCTGAAGAGAAAGATTTAAGTAAATGAACTTCACCTTGATCATTGTAACCGGTTCCGGAAACCTAGATCATTAAATGAATATTTTATAAAATAAATTGAAGTTTCATAATTTCATTTTTTATACTAACACTAGTAATTATCATAATTCATAATGTTTAAACACAGTAAAAATTCATTAATGAGTGTTACTTCATAAAAAGTCGTAACGTTTGCCTTGTCCATTAAAAATGAATTTACTGTATTTAAGTATAAGTTTTTATTAGGAGTTTAAATTTAAAAATATTTAACATTTTTAAAAATTAAAACTATTCAACTATGTTATAACTTACATCAGCATAATATCCATCTGAAGTAATAATTGTAGTTACAGTCATTTCATTATTGGTTATAGTACCAGTTTTATCAGAACATATTATATTAACGCATCCTAATAAAATAAAATAAATACATTAGACAATAACAAATTTATAATTATAAATAAAAGTTAAGAAATTACCTAAAGTTTCAACAGTTGGTAATTTTTTCACAATAGCTTTTCTATTAGCCATACGCATTACACCAAGTGCCAAAGTCACAGTTACAACTATGGGTAAGCCTTCTGGTATAGCTGCTACAGCCAAACTAAAATAATAAGTTTTTTTTAGAAAAAGGAATTAATTAATTGGCTTATTGTTTTACCTGACGCCAATAGTAAACATATCTAAAATAGGCCGGCCTTGAATCCATCCAAGCATCATTATCAAACCAATAATAAAGAAAGAATACACTGATAACTGAGTACCCAGAATATCCATGCTATTTTGCAAAGGGGTCTTAGGTGCTTCTTCACTTTGCATTAATTTGAAAAGTTCACCAAATTCTGATTTTTCTCCTGTATTTACCACAACTCCTTTGCCATTTCCACACCGTACTAAAGTACCCATAAATGCTATGTTTTTCATTGATGTATGACTCATAGGATTCAAAACTAACTCTGTGGTTTTCATACATGGTTCAGTTTCACCAGTAAAACTACTTTCGTCAATAGCTAAGTCAATGGCCTATAGAGTAAAAATCCAATAATGATTTTATTATAGACATTAGACAAAGATAACTATTATGCAAATATCTAAATGTATTATTTATTATTGACCTATTATTATTATATTATACTTAAGTTTTACCTCAAACAGTCTAATATCAGCAGGTACTCTATCACCAGTGCTCAAATAAACAATATCACCAGGTACCAACGATCTTGCAAGCATAGATTCTAATTGTTCCTCTCGTAGACTAAAACAGAAAAAAAAATTCAAGTGGTTAGTAAACTAATTTCAAGTAAAGTTTGTGTAATATCAAGAATATATAAACCCAATTGGTAGATAAATTTAAAAAAAAAAATGCACTCTACATTGGTAAAGTTAACATTATTAGCAGGAATAAATCGCAGTACTTAAATAGTAAATTACAAACTTTTTTGTGAATAATTCCATTATATAAGACATGACATGTCTCATACAAATGTTACAGTCTGAAAACCCTCCATACCAATACTATACAAAATCACGTGTATGAATTAGATGATTGAGCTGTTGTCACAAAACTTGTGTTTAATTTTAATGATTGTGAACAAATTACGCAGTGAATTGTCAATTAGTTAAGATAAATTTTTTTTAACTTTTTAAATTAAATTAGGATTTTTTATTGACGTAGGTAATATATACAAAGTTTGTAATTTTAAAATTTTATATTTTATCAATTATTTTTCAAACATAAATGAGAGTAGACACTGTATCATTGTCTCTAATGATGCTTTTCCATTAAATATCATGAAATCAAATATATTTATATAAAATATGACAAATAATGACTTCATAGAATTTTGTTTGAATACTAACCATCGACATGTAGGTGGTACAAGTTTTGTCAACGCTTCTAATGACTTTTCAGACCTATATTCTTGTATAAAAGCCACAGTAACAACAATGATAATAGCCTGTAAAAAATATTATAGGAATTTAAATAATTGCAGTTTAATTAATTTTATTTAAAAATAAAAATCAACAATTAATATTTTTACCTACCTATAGAAAACTGTACATAACAGACAGTTATGGGACCATCAAAAGGGGCCATTATAAAAGGGCTTTAATATTAATTTAGTGAAACTCACATATGTATTTGTTTATTAAAAATATTGTACTTTAATGAAAAAAAGGTCAATAATAAATATTAAAAAAATGTTGCATCTACCTACTGTAAACTCTATAACTACTAATAAATAAAAATAAAATATGTGCAACATAAAAAAAAATAACAATAATAATAATATAGGTACACACATACATACATAATAATAATTGATAGTATAATACATACATAATAATATTATAAACATACACATTAAACGTTATCGGCGATATAGGAGTACTGAGTATGTAATTGGTATTAATCCATGTCTAGAAGTCGCATAAGCATTGTCACGACCGGCGAAACTGTTGAATAGTATGTATGTGTAATATGTAATATGTATGCAATTAAATTTGAGTTTGATTTGAGTTAGTCCGTTATGAAGGTATTGGAAAGAAATATTACTGCTAGTGTCAGTATTAGAAAAAGCCTATTATAGAAAGGTCAAAATACATTTACACCTATATTTTGTGTGTTGAGATATTTGTCTGTTGTATACATTTGAAAAGTTAAGTTGGGTTTCATAGTATTTCCAAAAATATAAAAGTAACCTAATCAACATTTTCTTTGTTCTTAATTCATTATTTTGTGAGGAAAATAAAACCATTCTTACATTTACTATGAATAATGAGTAATTGTTTAATTAATACTTACTGTAGTAATACTGAAGGCATCATCAAATTGTTTCATACATACACTCACAACAGCTGATGCTAGCAAAAGGAGTATTAATGGATTTCTGAACTGAAAATAATAAGTATACAATTTAATATTCTAGTTCATACTTATTATGTTTTTTCATACTATACATTATAATAAATACCCTATGAAGGTAAAGCTGTATAGCCTAACTATTATAAGCTAACATAAATAATTACACAAGGTTATCAGTTTCTACAATTAAGATTTTAAAAAAAGCATAAATTAATTTTCCGTAATAAACCTATAGTAAAATTATACATTTAAAATAATTTATGACCTTAAATTCATAACTATGCATTTTAAATTGCCTGTAAATATTTAGTTACTTTAATTGCATTACAAATTAATTATAAAACAATAGATGGATATGGATGTGGGTAGTTGTTATTGGATTTCCATAAAAATCAAAATATACAAATACATAATTGTTGAAAATATTACACTATTTTTTTTGTACCGTTGTACTTGGAAAATCAAGTATAAATTATTTATATATTATATTTTTGTTCAATATATTCATGCATATTATAAAATAATATATTTTTCTTTTTTATGGTTTCAGAAATAAGTATTAATATAGAAGTATTCTGTTTACATTTTTTGTCTAAATTAGTTAATACTATCTAAATAAATATTTTTGTTTAATATTACATTTTAATCTACTTTAATATTTAGTTCTATTAACAAGCATTTCTTTATTAGGAAACTATTGACTACTAAGCGCCAACATTAAACTTTGGGTACATAATTATTAATTATATAGATACCCATATATTAAGATATTATTGCCTTGAACAAAAAAAAAAAATTGAAAATGTGTATTATTTTTGTAAATGTAATGTTGTAAATCTAGACACACTCATAATATACAATCTGGGTCTTAAGCATTAATAATAGAATATATATTGTATTACCTGTTCAATATATTTTTTCCACAATGGATCTCCTTGATGAACTGAAAATTCATTGTATCCAGTTATCTGTCTTCTAAATTCACATTCTTTCCAAGATAATCCACTCCTAAAACCAACTCTTAATCTGGACACTACATCTTCGGCACTAATTGCACTTGCTTCTTTGGTAGTAAGCCACATCTTTTCATGTTCTGCTATAATCTAAATTAAATTAAATACATTTTTTAAGTAGGTGCTTAAGTAACTAGTAACTTAAGAATGAATTACAAGGCACATACAAAATTTGAACCCGATGGACTATTATGTGATTCGTGATTTAAAAGTGAATGTAAAGATTCATTGCTAAATTTATTAACAATTTTGTACTTAGAGTTCATTATACCAGAATTAAATATTGTTGAACACAGATCGCCACTTATGACTGTTAGTAAAACAACATGTTAGAACTTAAAAAAAAATGATAAGGAATTAATTAAACTAAATCATGTTTGAAGAGGTGAATTCAGCACATTAAAAGACACATTTTAAATATAATTAGCTACACACTTTAACGAATTTCACGGTTTACTTTATATACAAAATACTATTTTTGATTTGCCAACATAGATTATAAAATACCTTATCACCGTTATCAACGTGTTAAAATATTTTTCTGCTATCATTAAAATGACAGAACTACCAACTTTTAGCTAAACAGATATTTTTTTTAATACATTTATTTATAATATTTTATTTATACTCGTCATCCGTCGCCCATCGGACTATCGGAGACATCAACACTCCGAGTTCCGACGATTTGTCGTATACTCGTAGGTATAAACTATAAAAACATGTTCCTATAAAATGTATCGTAATAATAAAACAATTTTAATATTATTAGATGTGCATATTATATCGATTATCGATATTTGATACACCCATGAATCATGATATGACATTATAATACCCACGTCACACAAGTCAGTTGTAATAGGCACTAAATATTATATAATTGCACAGATTAAATAAAACATTATACTTAATATAAACATTAATACATTATATGAATATACTATATACATTCATACATTGTATATTGTATACTACCTTTATTATATAGATAACGTTTTATGTTTCATTTAATCTGTGCTAATAGCCAATATGGAGTAAAATAAATAATAGTATTATAAAAATCTATTATAAATTTATAAACCTATATAACTGGTAGAGCAGTAAAGGTAATAATAATGATATTATTATAGTCCACGTACACAGGCAAGTACACAAAAAAAAAATCGGAGAGGAGGGGGTCATAGTAGTTTTTGGGAGGGTTTATTTAGAGGGTTAATATATTATTATGATTGGTATAAATAAATTGTTTATTTAACAACTATTAATTTTAACCCCCAATCCCCCCCTATATACATTACTGCACGTGACTATCTACCATTAATATTATAAATACTAATATATTATTTAATCATTGCTACTACTTATGATGCAGCAATTATTCATTATTGGAAGTCCGATTACGCCAAATAAGTTAATAACCTCCCACCCATTACAGAAAAGGTTTGAGAATTTTTATTGCTTTTATTATATCGTTGATTTTATAGTAAAAAAATATAATATTATAGGTACTGCAATAGTGCAATACTGAATACCGGCATACCTCCTATTTTTTTTATGGTAACTATGGCCTATATTTTCAAATTAATTATTGTATAGATTCTCAGCAGTAAGCACAAATAGCTAATAGCTATTGTATAGGCATCAATCCTAGACTTGTATCAAATTTCGTAGGTACCTCGTGAGTCGTGGATTATTTTTACCTAGGTTACGGATTTATGTTAGTATTGCTTAATTGAATATGGGAAAATAAAAAAATTAATGATTGGTTGATGAGCAACTGATATATTATCTTGTATCTATATGTCGAAAGCAGAACATGTGTTAAGGTTGATAGGTGAAGAGGATCAGATAAAAATGCCAACACTTTATACGTAAAAAATATAGAACTAACATCAACGTTAATTGCCCAGGTAAAGTACTAAAGTTACAAATAACCTACAGATTTTAATTTTAATTTCGAATTTATAGTAAATAATAAAATATAAGTAATGAAATTCATTATCTATAGAAATTAAATTATGGAATAGAAAATGGGTCTCTAAGTCTCGAAACCATCGTCCAAGTACGGCCATTGAAACATTAAGCAATCGTAATTCCGATTTATTTCCATGTATATTATTATTGTTAAAAGTATTATCAACATTAACAGTTTCAATTGCAACGGATATTTTGGATTCCGGTAAAGCTTTTTTTTCTGAAAATGTTCATAGTCAAATCATCAATTTTGGTTCGCTACCTAGTTTATTAACTATGGTCCTCTAAAGTTTAGTAAAATATGCATTAATACTTTTAATTGAAATAATTGGTATAGGTTTAATTTACAAGAGGTAACTAGAACTTACTACTAGAACTTTTTATATAGCATTTTAAAAATATATAAAAAAAAAATAGGATAATATAATATAATATTATAAGCAAACGATAACTGCAACAATGGCCGTCGAACCGACCAATTGGGGAGGCAAAAGCCGGACTAGAAAAATAATAGTAAAAATAGGTCATGCATCGTTTTAAATAAAATAAAAACAATCTCAATGAGTGCTCGAGTCCCGCGGATCACACGCGTACTTAACGCCTATTCCTCTTTTTATTCTTTACTCTTTATACATATACTAGCTCTAAGTATAACTCGGGGCCCGTTGGAATCGCTGAGAGTGGGTACCGATTTTGGAGACAATGAATTATAAAAGTCGCAAAGGTTGTAAGACGAAAGTTTAGGATTTGTGATAAGGATTAGTGATATGGATTGGAGATAAGGCTAGACGCTTTGGCGGGAATGTTAAAAGTTTGAGTGTCTAGCAATCCGTCACAAACGTTGTAAATGGATAGGCTGGATACGATCTCCAGGATCACCTATAGAGTATACCTGCACATAGAGTGGTATGTGCCGTAGCATGCCCGGTGCTTTATCTTATGTAAAAAGTGTAAAGTCGAAAACCGTGTTGGAGTTTCTAGCAAGTCAGTCATCTCAAATCAAAATCTATTAACTTTCGAGTTAGCCACTTAGGTAGGCAATCCGACTTCGTCGGATCGCGGACTATGTGCTACAGCAAAATGCAAATCAGGTAGGCAATCCACCTGCGGTGGATTGCAGACCCGACATCAAGCGGCTATAAGTGAAAACCCTATCACACAACTTACGAAATAATTTACGAAAAATTCAAACTATATACATACAAACAAATATAATATGTATTTATTGTGTGATATAATATAACAATGAACATTTTGAGAAATGTGCAATTATAATTCCTAAAAAATATTAACATATTGGTAGATAGTTAGATACATACTATTATATTAACCAATACATATAAACATGTACCTATAGTGTATATATATTAATTTAAAAAAAAATTGCAAAAACCTGCATGTTATTTGTTAAAGTGTCTATCAAGTCAATCATCACCGTTTAAGACGAAACTAAAATGAGCAACCCGTCTATCACCTATATATAGTAGGTATATCACATAGAGTGGTATGTGCCTTCGCATGTCCGGTGCCTTTTCTTATGTAAAAAGTGTAAAGTCAAAAACCGTGTTGGAGTGTCTAGCAAGTCAGTCATCTCAACTCTCAAGTCAAAATCAAGATTAACTTTCAAGGCAAACCGAAATAAAATACAAACTATATTTATATAACAATCATGGAAATTTTAAAAAATATGCAATTTTAATAATTCCTAATAAAACAAATATAATATGTACCTATTTATTGTGTGATATAAAATGATAATGACTTTAAATAATAATAATGTACGATATGTACCTGTATTATTATATTATTATTTAATTTATATGAAAAATAACGTGAAAAAAATATGCAAAAAAAATCGGGATTTGGGCGGCCGTGTAAACCATATGGCATTGACGGTTTCAATGCCTGGACGGCGTACGACGGAATTTGAACCCGGGACCTACGTGTTTCCTGCCTAACGCCTAACCTACTCGGACACAGTTTGAGATATGAAAAACAGTGAAAACATCAACAATTAAGCCGTGCGACTACGGAGCGACGTACACCGATATTTCCGATGTACATCGATGTAATCGCATATAATTCGCTTGTAATACGCGCATCTCCCATATATATATTTAACGGGGCGTGTGAAAAGCGTTTTCCGTTAATAATTATTAAATCATAAGGAAAAATTAAATTATACTCGTATATACATGTATATATACGCGTACGGCTGGTCGGTCGCCGGCGTAATTTCCAAACGCGATTGCGAGGCGAACGAACCGATTTCGGGGGAAAAGCGCATATAAACGGCTTTAAAAAGACGTCGACTACACGATTCGGGCACAAACGGGTGCGAATAGACGAAACGGTGGGAGAAAAGGAAAAAATCGGCAAAAAAGTCCGGTCGGGAGTGTATTTATTGATCGACATTGAACACGAATATAAACCGCACACCGGTTACTTCGAATTAAGTATATAAAAGGGCGAAAAGATATCGTGTAAAAACAGCTAATTTTCCGAAAAACAGGAGATAACGAAAAACGTTTTAAAACCGACCGCCGCCACTGCGAAGGTACGCGATTGGTCGCGCTATAAGGAATCGACGGGACACGGCCGGCGGGCTGGGGAAACGGAGCAGTGCTTCATTTTTTACGCCATGGGTTCGCTATAGCCGGCGTTTTCCTTTCCATTGGCCCCCAATATTATCAGTCAGCTGTTCTTCATTTTATAGTATTAGATTTTATACAAAATTAGCCTCATTAAAGAGTTGTTCTTTACTTTAATTCCTATATGCCTATTAACCATAATTCTACTTGTGAATGATTCCTGAAAAATGATAATCTAATATGCATACCTACTTGTATAATAGGTATGAAGTATTATAGTGAATACAATTATTTCTAATTTTGTAATGGGGCACACCGTGATTTTTTTATTGTAGTAATGACATTTTAAAATATACATATTATATAGAAAAATCTTATCATAGTAAATTGTTGAAGCTCAAACGTTAATGCAACTAAATTATTTTAAACGCTATAACAATAATAAATGGTTGAACATGAACTATAAGAGTGTACAAATCTATCATATCATTAATTTGTACATCTGAAATAGTACTAATTAAATCATTATTATGACCTCTATCCAATAAAGCAATTATTTGTGTCGTTTATGTATAAAACTAATTAATATTGTTTTTATGTATTACACTTTACAAATTTAGTAAAATTATTATTATTTTGAAGTTAGTAAGTTAGTTATAAATGTATAAAGTATTCTGGAATTATAGTAAATTATTTATTATACTTATTAGTTAGGTATTACTATGTTTTACCTTTTAACTCGTATATACATTTGATTGTATACTCAAGAAAGTAAGACAAACATAGGTACTTATTTTCTTAAATAATTATTATAGTTTAATCGCAATTATATTTTAAACAATTCAACTAAAAAGAACAACATATTTTGGTGAACTACTTCATTAATATTAGGTAGGTACTGAAATTAATTGGTTCGTGTATATATAGACTAATAGTTAAAAATCAATTTTTTTTATTAATTAATAAATTATTTTAATTGTATGAAACAAACTAACACGCTACAAATAAATACTTATAGCGTTATATTCGCAACTATAATACGATCTATATATTTTGTCTGTTTACTATTATCATATAAACTATTGACTATTTGCTGCAGAGTCGATTATTTCACTCTATTTATCGCTGCGATTCAATTTTTACTATTTTTGATCATACCTACGACTTCAATGTATTATGACTTATTGAATGGCAACTCTTTTAAAAGCTTATTAATTTAAACATTTTAATTTTTATTAGTCATAGTATTCGAACTGTAGAGGTCTGTAACTTTGTAAGATTACCGATTAGAGTTTAACAAACAAATTATGGTACCTATAACTATATAAGGTCTATGGTTAAACTATGAATTTCCATTAAGATATCATCACATACCAATAGGTACTTATTCTTATGGTGGTCATAAATTGAAAAATATATATTGAACTGTTGAGTGTTCATTGACACCTGCCAATATGTTAATAATAGCTTATATTGTTACACTTGACGAATAAAGCAGTTAAGTTGGTATTATTTTATTTTGAACCCTAAATTTAGGTATTTAGCAATTAACTAAATATGGAGCCATCTATTAAAAATTTACGGAAATGTTTTCGAATAAAAATATCTGAACCAAATTATTTTATGTATATGGGTAAACCCATTTACAGTGTTCTGAACTTTATAATATAGAACACTACAATTCTGCAATGGCAGAATGAATAATTCACTTTCTTCCATTAGTCATTGAACGTAAAATAAACATCAATATGAATTATCAATTTTTAATATGAAAACAGCTAACTTCACTCAATGATTATTAATGACCAATACCAGCAATATTACCAATATGCTACAATATACATGATCCATATATCTGTTGTTTTCTATTATTTTAACCTAGTTTGTCAATACATTATAAACCAAATAACTGATTATAATTAGTACAAAATTCAATAACATCAGAAATTTAAACCAAAACAAATTAAATTAATTTTTATTTCGTATGTAATGATAAATTATAATTCTTTATAATATATATTAGGAATAATATATACTTATAGTTTAATTTATTTGAACATAGACCTCAATATAGTTTGTCCAAAATGTAGTCATGGACGATTAATAAAAAAAGCCATACATACTTAGTATTAGGTATTTAAATAACTTGAATGGGTGTGTTGAAGGTGTGATGTAATTTTAAATTTTAAAATGATGTTAAATCATTGCATGAAATAAAATATATAGAATAGTTGATGCTGAACGGAAGCTATTAGTTATTATCACTAAATCATACATCCTTTTTCATAAGTACTTACCTACTTTAAATTAAAAATTGTAGATATTTAAAAATAATTATACACTTATAGCTTTGCTCGGGAATTAAAAATGACGAATGGTTTTATAGACTGCAGCAAGTACCTACTTTAACATATAATATATATACAGTAGAATCACTAGAATCCGCTTAAGGGGGACGCCACTTAAAGGGGACACCTGCTTAATGGGGACATTAATGACAGTCCCGAATGAATGTATTGTATGTAAAATTCTTCGGTTAATCGGGACAGTCGGTATAATGGGAACAAATAGGTCACCTCCCGATGTGTCCCAAATAAGCGAATTCGACTGTATATCATATTCATATATGTAAACATATGACTTTATATGAGAATGATATTTACGTATATAATACTTAATAAGGGGACGGAGTGGCCGAGCGGTCTAAGGAGGTGGTTGCGACTCAGCCGTCGCCGGATAGATTCCCGGCCGGGGGCGGCATTTTTCTTCGGGCAAGTCACGGTGTCCGGAGAACAAGTGCCAAAGTCCCCCACCCGAGCATGGCAGATACCTACGAATGCCCAAATCGAAAATTCTGCCAAAACACACACGTGTTAACAACCTATAGTACCCCCTACAGTACCACAGGCTAATAACATACGTAGTCGAAACCTTAACACTAATAAAAAAAAAAAAAAAATACTTAATATTTTCAACAAAATACTAACCTTATTGTTTTCAAGTTTTTGCTGTTTCTTACTCGTATTCTTGGTATCTTTATCATCGTTATTTATCTAAAATATAAACATTTATATAATTATTAATAAAAAATCACAATGAAGTACCTCCGCTGGGAGGGCTCTTCACTTATAGTACTATATATGTCCATGGCATTATTAGATATTTAGATTCTGAGAGGAGCGATGAATGTATTGATTTTATAACAATGTGTGTTTTTTATTTTTTGTGTCGATCATCATCTTTAAGGACAGTAAAAATGCTTAGATTTTCTTCAACAGTTAAAACGGTTTAAAAATAAAAATTCCCCAGTAGTTTTCAAAAGAGCTATGAAAATCAAAAGAAAAATTAAGAAATACCGGGAATTTGTACTTAATATGAGCTTTTAACAAAATGTTTATATTTACATTTTCTATATAGGTAATATAAAATTTTGAAAATATTTTGACTTGTATTGAGCAGTTTACGGACATTTTGAGTTTTCAATTTTTTTCTTTTTTTTCTATAAATATCAATAAAATTGTATTTGTTAGGTCAAAAAGCGTGAAAATTGAATACAAAGCTCCTGATATAGTGTTACTATAGCAGTAAAAAAATATTAAAAATTCATGGCACAATTTTTTTTTTATAAATATTTAAAGATCGATTTTTAACAAAATTTAAAAATGTTGTAGTTAAAAATGTATAAGCTAAGGATTTATAATTTAAAACTGCAAGGTTCCACGTAAACAGGTAAATAAATTACTTTATTCACAATAATATCATCAAATATACTTGGTAATTTACATGGGCTGAATGATCGTCTTCCCTCAGAATCGTTTTTCGTAGGTACACAATGATATTGTGTCATTAAATTCAAATTTGACACCATCCATTACTTATTAGTGACACACAGCCTACTCTACAGCAGAGCAACACCCACTTGCCCATCTTTTTATAATTTAATTTAATTCATTACCATCAAATAAGATCAACAAAAAAAAATTTTTAGAACTTGATCAACTCTTTATTTAACAAAAATAATGAGATTTCAAAAAATTGTAAAAAATAAACTTCATAGTCCGTGCATCCACCAACACTACATAAGTAAAAAAAAATAGAATAATTGATAAATATAGTATTACAAAAGGCAAAGCCAAATAAATAATACCTTTTAGTTAATATACACACTATATTATGTGCTATAATATTAAATGTGCAGTAGCAAATTTAAAAGTGTGCAGTACTTATTTTCTGCTTTTTTAAATTTTTATTTGATTAATATTTTAGATTCTAAGTGGAACGATGAATGTATAGATTTTACAATGATGTGTGTGTTTTTTTTTGTGTGTATACACTGTAAGTAATCGAAATAATGCTTCGATTTTTAACTTTAGTATCTCGTTCGATAGGAAAGTGAATATTGTTGGTGCATTGGGAAGTCAAAATTTAAAATTCCCAGTAATTTTCAAAAGCGCCGTGAAAAACAATAAAAAAATCAAGGAAAACCGGGAATTTTTACTCAAAATCGACTTTAATTTTTGGTGTAACTTTAAAACAAATGACCGAAGATACATGCAATTTTAACTGGTTGTTTATATTTGCATTTTCTATACACGGTAAAATTTTCAAAATATTTTGATTTGTTTTGAACTGTTTAGGGACATTTTCTGTTTCCAATTTTATTAGTTTTTTTGCCTATGAATGTCAATAAAGCTTTATTAGTTGAGTAAGAATCCTTAAAAATGTAATACAAAGCTCCTACTACATTGATACAATGACATTTGAAAAGTATTAAAAATCCAGTCACAGTTTTTTTTTATAAGCATTTAAAGTTAAAAAATTGACAAAATATGGAAAAATCACGAAAAAATTAGCAAATTATTTTGAGTTAAAAATTCGTAAAAAATTTTCTTTTTAAATCTAAGATTTTAAAATTTAATAAAAGATTCCTTATAAGGTTATCTACCTTTATCAAAAAAAAAAAAAATGTCTATAAGAAAGTCAAATTAAATTTTTATGATCGTTCGAAATACAAATTTTTACAAATTGGATATTCACTCGATTTCTCTTGTAGCGATTTTCTTATTTTGTTGTAATTCGAAAACGAATAACTATAGACACATGCAAATTTCACTTTAGCATTTCCTATACACCATATTATTTTTAAAATATTTTGATTCTTTTTGAGCTGTTTACGGACATTTTCAGTTTTCAATTTTTTTAGTTTTTTTTCTATGAATATCAATTAAGTTTTATTTGTTGGGCCAAAAAGTGTAAAATTTTAATGCAAGGCTCCTGATTTATTGTTACAATAGCAGTTGAAAAATATTAAAAATACATAGGCACAATTTTTTTTTATAAGCATTTAAAGATCAAATTTTGACAAAATTTATCAAACTACAAATTGAATAATTATTTTGTAGTTAAAAATTACATTAAAACTATTGAAACAAAGTAGGGGTCTAATTTTCGAGCTTTGATAACTTCTTATTGAAAGCTAAATGAAAAATACTAAAAAGCTAAAAAAAAAATAGCGGTTTCACGATAAAAGTGGACATACATAAGGGTCCCATGGATAAAAAAGTTTAAGAAACGCTGCAGTCTAATTTCTAATTTATATTATACAAATTAAATTAAATTAAGTACATTAACTATAGATATCATTGTGGTATATTGTATGAGGTAAGCTACCTATTACACATTAAATATTACTATATTAATTATTAACTTTATAATTTATAATATATAATACAACATAAACTTCTTAGGTGATGTTAATTCTATAAAAAAAGGTTTTAAATAATGTTACACAATTCACACTGTTTACAATGTCATATACAGTATTACAGTAAAACCTCTCTTAACGGACACTTCTCAATAGCGGTCAAAATTTCCGGTCCCGGCATAGTCCCGTTGAAAATAATGGATGTACTACGACAATATTATTATATTACCGATTGTTCCAAAAAAAATGTTTAATGTTGATGAAACCGGCTTATTTTTTCGTGCTTTACCCGATAAAACAATGTGTATCATAGGCGAGAACTACAGTGGTGGTAAATTAAGTAAAGAATTAATTACAATTATGTTGTGTGTTAATATGGAGGGTGATTTTGAAACACCTTTGGTGATTGGAAAGACTTTAAAACCCCGGTGTTTTAAGAACATAATCTTCAACGATCTTATAGCGAATAGGCTGAAGACATTTTGTCTCAATAAGAGTGATGCAGTTTCATTGTCATTAGTTTATCTAGTCTAATTTTGAGGAAATTGCAATACAAGAAAAAAAACAAACAAAAATTTCAGATTTTTTTTTCAATAAGTAATTTTGTATAATATATTTTGTTACGTCTAAATAATTGTAATAAATTATATAATGATAAACCCGAGGATAAACCTAAGGTAAGATATTTTTTAAAAAGTCAATAAAATTTAAATTATCAGACATAAATACGTACATATTATTTTATTAATTATTCCCAATAGCGGACACCTCTCAATAGCGGACAATTTTGTCGGTCCCGTGAGTGTCCGCTATTGCGAGATCTTACTGTACTATATATAGGTACCTGCAGAAATGTATACAATAAGTAACTTACAAGTATTTTCGCAAATAGTGTTTGGGATTGGGGGGGGGTTCTTTGATTTCTTTGATAATATTGAATAAGCTTAAAACAAAATGTTTGGGGGGCTATGGACATTTTTGGGAGGCTTCATGCCTAAACTATTTGAGCCTATACTTACATGTGACATTATAATAACAGCTTAAAATAGTTCGGTAAATTTACCTGCATGTGTGAAGTAACGCTAATGATAACTTCTTTTTCTTTATTTATTTCATTTTCAATAACCTAAAACAAAAAATTTAATTTAAATTCAAATTTTGTCGTGATCTGCTAGATTCATATTTCATAATATTAATTACCAATTATTACAAACTAAGGTATACACTCAATAAAAAAAATTGGAGAGTCATTAATGGGTATTGTTTCTCTGGTAAAAATATGTCCACTTATTTATATATGCACTTGTTGTTAAATTTTTTAACGTATCATACCCGTATCCCATATACAATAATACATATTTTGCCCTAAACCCGGTTAGTGGTCACACACTACGATTTTTTTATCTGTGAGCAGTGTTCGATATAGTTCGAAAGCTGTACATGCCACATGCTGTACGTCAGGCAACGTCTGTACCTATATTGAAAGTCTGAAACGGAATAAAAACTGAGTAATTCGATTTTCACACCATGTTTGGAGACTGGAGTTCAAAACTTCAAAATAGGTAGAACATAGATCAGCCACTGAACAACGATGAAAAATAAATAATGTGTGTGTGTGTGTAGTATGACTAATATATTTTAGAATTAAGTTTGTGTATGTAAACATGATCATAAATAAATATCTAGGTAACCAAGTGTTTAGTGATAACTGATGATATTATACCATAAAATTATTTATGAATTTCCAACATAATGGAAATCCTAATTGTCAATAATTTAAAATTAAAATTTTAAATAGGTAAACATTATAAAATATTATATATTAATTTTAAATGATAAATCTTTATTGTCTTACGAGTTACGAAAGAAATTTTATAATTACATTCACTTCAACTTTTTACAATTTATTGATCATCCAATGTGTTGTTATATATATGTATAAAGATTGTTATAATATTATGAATATTATGAATAAGAGATAATGATAAATGTTGTGTGTGTATAAATATATTAATATATATGATATACCTAAACAATTTCCAGGAATCGTTAGTCGTTGACTCTAATTATTTTGGTATTTTATATTATAATTGATAACATGCATTAGTATAATTATTTAAAATGTCGGTTTTTTTTAATAAATATTATATATATACATTAAGTGTAGGTTTGTATTATATTTTTCCATATTATAGATATATTTCCCAAGACCGTACTTGGTTACATTAAATTTAAAATAAACTATGGAACACATAATATTATTTTAACTACCTATTTTTGGAATTTTCAACCGGCTACAGCTGAGAAATTATGGTGGCCCGTATGCTATATTGAACCCCTAATTCCAATACCTTTCATCCCCAACATCCGTCGATGATGTAGTAACTAAACTAACTAAATAGTGTTGGTGGACAATTTAGGTGGGGCAAATAGACCAGTCAAATATACTAATAATGTTATTATTTATTATATTATCAATTTGTATCTCATATGTATTAAAGGTAACCTGTAGTCCCGCAATATACATTATACATTTTACATTCATCCCTCGTGATCACGAGGCTCACCACCATTTATTCTACAGCTACTTCAGAAGAAATCCTCCGTACATGGGTTGTCTCCGTCTTATTAATGCAAAACATACCAAAATTTGCGTTCAGAAATTCCAATTTTGTGCTGATACAGGCAGCTTAAATAGTAAAGTGAATTGACATACGATCGAACTTAAATATACGAATATTATCTATGTTTTTTCATTCGGTGTTTATAATGTTTTCATTTTTAATCAAATTCTGAGTGTAATATGTAAAATAATGATATTAAAAAATGCTCATCTCGCTTAATAATTAAAATATTGTAAAAATCGCAACGATAAAAACACGAATGGTGTTTATACCTTTAAGACGTTTGATATTCTATACAGGTCAAATCACTCTAATATTTAAGTCAACACCACAAAATTGGAACTGCCGAACGCCTAACATTTTTATATAATCCGTTTGTAAGACGGAGATAACATATGTGGGTGTGACGTCCTACATTAAATCAGTGTCGCGATAAAAAAAAAATTAAAAATCGTTTAATTTGTCTGACGAAACTCACTTCGGATACTCGCGCTGCGGCGGCCACAGCTTTCTCGTCAGTGGTGATTTGCAACGTCGCCGGAGCAGCTGCATCAGTGAGCTCTTCGTCAGCGGCCGTCACCGCAGTTGGATTACTCTCGTCAGCGGCCCTCATCGCAGTCGGATTATTCCCGTCGACGGCCCTTACCGTGGTCGCCGTAGTCATCGTCTCCAAGCGGTCGACCACCGGGGCAGCCGTCACCTTCTCGGCGACAGTGGCGGTGACGTCGTCGATGTAACAGGGCTCGGACGAGGCGTTGTCGCTAGTCTGTCGGTCGTTTTGCGTCTGAGGTAGCTCTCGCAGCGGCTGCGGCCGTGCAGCCGGTGATGCTTCCATGTCGGTCGCGTGCTCGCGTCTGTCGGACGCTGCTGCCGTCGACTGTCTGGCGAGCGGTTGCTGTGCGTGGTGCACGGTGGCGCCACACTGTATCGCAGTAAAGCGACGGAACACTCACCGGAGACCGTCGTTTGGTACCTATATATAATGGATGTATTGCCGTATTGTTATTGTTGTTATTGACTCCCGAGGTGCGGCGTCTGTCCATCACTATAAACTGCACACAACAATACGTTGTAGAGCTAGGGTGATTTGTGGAAGAGGGGCACTAAAATAAAAAATTAGCCTTCCACTGAAAAAAAGAAATAAAAAATTACTCGAAAAAACACTGTACCTATTTATTATGCATATTATGGACTCTTGCAGTATATTTACATAATTTTTCATATAACAATAAAATATATTAATATTTATGATCAAATTCAATTTTTTTTATGGAACTTGTTCGTAGGCCTTATAGCTTATTATTCCAAGTCAATAATAAATTATAACTACCTATAATAATATTAAGTATGTTAACAAAAATTTGGGTGGACATTTAGAACTCTAACTTGAGCATAATATGATTAGCGACTGGATCCCCATTTTTTAATTTATTATAGTGTTTCACTTGTGATCACGAATACCACAATCAGAAACTATTTGCCCACTAATACCCTCCAATCAATAATCATATAATATTTAATAATAATGGCTCTGTACTTGAGTATACTGTACAATTGTTTAATACAAAATAAAAAAAAATGTCTACAAACAAATGGCATAAATTAGGGGTGGTTTCAAAACCAGGGGTGCACCTCCAACCTCCACACCCCAATTTAAAATATGGCCTAGTTTTACAATTTTATCTACATCATCAATTTGTATTAAATAGTGGTTTAGTATTTATTATACAATAGGTAACGAGTAGGTAATTAGTAATTACGTATATATATTATTATAACAATAAATAATAATGATGTCTTATACAAATACCAATTATAAATATATAAAAGTATAAACTCTTATTATTTTGCTATTTTATAATTTATATATTATATATTGTACTTACCTAGTAACTATGTAATAATATTCTAACAGTACCTACTTAATAATGTGTTTACTTTTTCATACCGTTTGTAATAATAACAATGATAAATATACTATGCATAGGTCATAGGTATTTGTTAAATGTCCTGAACCTACATATTATCGACAATACCTGCAACACGCACACAAGTGTTTACATTAGGTACATTACAAAAAAAAATTTTCGTTTAATCACGACGGTAATGAAATCGTATCTCCCGGAGGGGAGATGAGAGAGCGCGTTCAGTCGGAACTGAATTGTAGATTAAGCGTTTAATCATAATTGAGTATATTATTTTGTATTATAATATATTATATGTGTTATATATAGGAATATAGCTAATTTTGTGTGCACTGATACATAACAGAGTAACATAATACTGTTGGAAATTGTAATACGATTGTGTTTTAAGGACACGTCGGCACTTAGAATATTATTGTAATACAATACTATTATTTATTAATTTATTGTACTGACATCAGTCCAATTTACAAAGGTATCCCTAAATTAGATAACAGTTAATATTAGAGATATAATATAAAATAGATATATGGCAAATATGTTAAAATATTTTAAACAATAAAACAAAAGAGAGGTAAAATATAATAGATATATAAATATAATAATAAATGATAAAAAGTTTAATCGATAGGAAAGAAAAAGTCTAATTGGTTTACTTTATGTCTGTATTAACAGTAGATAACAAAATATTTACAGATGTACAAGACATATTATAGTTTTGGCCTTTTGCTTGGGAATAATGTATTTTTATGAAATAAATGTAATATAGGTATATGTAGTGCCATAAGTTAATAGAAAGATATTAGAGTATAAGAATATATAAAGATATTAGAATATTTAATGAAGAATACAATATCGTTAAGAGGACGCCACACCCGCATGTGTTGTCTCCGTCTTACAAATGTACAACATAGCAAAAACTCTTTTGCGAGGGACAACTTTTCTCGCACCATATTTGTTGTAGAACTACCAAATTTTCACAGCACTTAAAGAAGAACTTTATCTGTGCAACAGCGTGCTCTTTTTTCAATAACATATATACAATACAAGTTATTTGCTTCTAAACATTTGGTTTTTTAATTTGCTTATAAAAAATGATTGGATGGTGCTATTGAAAAAAAGAGCACGCTGTTGCACAGATAAAGTTCTTCTTTAAGTGCTGTGAAAATTTGGTAGTTCTACAACAAATATGGTACGAGAAAAGTTGTCCCTCGCAAAAGAGTTTTTGCTATGTTGTACATTTGTAAGACGGAGACAACACATGCGGGTGTGGCGTCCTCTTAATGAGTAAATTTAATAATAATGGTGAGAGGTTGTATTGGAAATAACATTTTTTTATTCTACAAATTGGGATCATTCAGTTAAAAACGAATTTATCCATGATAATAAAAGGTCAGCAATGTCCATTTTTCTAAGTTTTTGTATTAAAAGTTTATGGTCAATTAAATAAAAAACTTTTTCAAAGTTTCTGTATAATATGATAATATGATATCAGTTAGTTGTTTATTATAAAAAGAATTTAAAATAAATGGTTTTTTTAGATAATTGATTGGTAATGGTAGATTTGTTAGTGCGGAAACTATGTTGTTGAATAGGTAAGTATATTTTTGAAGAGATGAGTGAGATTGGCATTAATTATTTTAGAGAATAATTTCGGGAGGATAGAGATCAAAGATAAAGGATGATAACTAGAAATTAGTGATTTATCTCCATTTTTCAAAATAGGGGTGATGAATGTAGATTTCTATATAGAGGGGAAACCAGGGCCGGGCCGAGGGCTTGGCAAGGTAGGCGCCTGTCAGGGACGCAAAATATCGAGTAGGAATGGAGGCTCAAAATTTGATATCATTAAATTTGAATTTGAAAAAAAATATTTCAATATATTAATATATGTTATTAGATGCGAGTTGATTAATACTGTGTTATACATTTAACACTTAAATTTATATAGTTAAACCTCAAATTTACTATTGATTATTGCAATTAATTTTCATTCCCGACGATCGACGATAACTGGTACCCACCGAATTATATCGTAAAGTAATATATTTAATTTATAACAATGTATATATTTCTACACGTATACAAGCCGCAGGAAATATCAATGTGTTTCCTGGGGTAATAATATGTGTATAAGTGCAATGGTAGCAGGGGGGCGTGGAATGCGTTGTTATTAGCTTATAGGTCTATAATTGTATTATTATATGACGATTATTCGGTTATTTTACAATTTTTCTCTACAAGATGTATACCCAAATTTGGAAGTAGCATTAAGATTTTTTTTTTACAATGCCTATTATTACAGCTACTTGCGAGAGAAGTTTTAGCAAATTAAAACTTATAAAAAATTATCTCTGTTAAACCATGGGTCAAGAATGTCTATCGAATTTAGTCATACTTTCCATTAAACAAGTAATTGCATCTAAGATGGACTACACTTCAATCATCGAAGAATTTGCTTCCAAAAAAGCCAGAAAAGTTAAATTTGTTTAATAAATATATTGTACTAAATTCTATTTAATTTGAAGTATTATTTGTAATATTTTATTTAAATTTTTATACAATTCTTGTTTATGTGGTAAAGTTTTTAAGAATTTGTTATTAAAGTCATACCAAAGTAGGTAGTACAAATCAATTAACTTCGCTATTTTTATATTTATTTTGAATTTGAAATATTCTGAAAATGTTGTTATTTTAATTATTAAAATATTAAACTTAACTCTTAAGCTTTAAAGTAAACATTGATTATGCTTATATGCAAATAAGTTAACATTTAATTTTTTTTTTTTTTATGGGGGAGGAGTGGGAGTCCAAACAGTGCCGGTGCTAGGAGAGGACAAATGGGACATTTGTCCAGCGCCCCGCGCTTGTTAAAGGGCCCCGTGATTTTTAATTATCATCTTAATATACGAATACCGTGGTCTACCGTCGTATATTGCATTATTCTGCCTGCCGCGGTCGCGTACTTAGATAGGTATTAAACAATTTATTATTTTATTCAAACATTTTGATGAATTAATTTATTTTTAATTGATGATTTTATGTAGTTGTTAAAATAAATGTAAATTAACAAAATAACCAGCCCTTATGAATTTATTAGCCTACGATTTTCCACTCAAAGGTTTAACTGAAACCCACGCTACGCCACTAATTCTGTGCTGAGCGAGGTTTCATCAGGAGGAATCGCACTCGAATGTGTTGTCTCCGTTTACACAAGTAGGTAAGGTAAAGTGGGGTAAGTGTGAAGCAAAAATGAAAAGTTAATTTTGAATTTGACAATACTTTTTTTGTTTTTAACTTAAAGTTGTTATTGTTCCATAATGTAACACCTCTAGATATACATAATTGGAATTTATAGTCAACAAAGTTATATTATCACTCACCTAAGAATAATTTTTTTTTTTTTTAAATTTTAAAACGTCACACTTGCCCCTTTTCATGGGGCAAGTGCAAAATCGGATTGTTTTTGCTTTTAGTATTACATAAAATTATATATGGGGCAAGTGAATAACAAAGATAAAAATAAGCTTTAATTTGATTTTTGTTTCGTTAAGATATCTTGGATTCATTAAGAATTGACAGAGCATTATTTAAATTTAATTATTTACCTATATTATATATAAAAACAGTACTTTTTTAAAATCCTGATTTAAAAAAATGCTAAAATTTCACTACTCTCTGAGAACCTAAAGGCTATTACCTATGACCAGGGCCCCGCAATACCTAGCGCCGGCACTGGGTCCAAATTTTTATTTTGCCAGGAACGCTGCTATTGATCGGTCCGGCTCTGGGGAAACCACAATTATTTAAAGTAGCATTAAAAAGAAATTTAATAGGAGGGGAAAGGACAAATCTAGAAACCTGTAGAAATATAAGCAAAAGTCCACCAGGACCAATACCAGTTTTAATT